ATCGTTTCATTGCTATTGTTTTTGATTATGTCTGAGTAGTGAATTGTATTTCTGAGGATGGGATAGAGTAGTCGTGGTTGCCTTAGTCGCTTTAGATGGTTGAGTTTAGATTGTTTGAATCCCTTCTGGATTAGTTGCGCTTATTGGTTGTTCCTTTCTGATCAACTGGAAAATGAATCCAGACATTCCCGCACCCAAAAGATGTTTGATGGAATGTCTGATCCACTAATTCCAGAGATACTCGTCTCTATCCCAAGGTGTTGGCCGTTTAGAGCGGGTATTGGCTTTAACAAGTTGATTCGATATTGCCTGCTTAGTTAGAGATCGCTAATGGTGATTAGGTCTGTGTCTAGCTCTGCTTGAGAATTTCTATCACGGTAGTGAATTGATTTGCTTTTGAACTTGTTGTCAAGGGATGGCTTCTGTGAAGTTTTGTCAACCGTCTAAATAGATTAAGGAGACCACGCTATTCGATTACCCTGTCCTTAGGAATCTCTCATCCATTTGATTGCCTGCTATCTTACCTGCTTTGTTATTCAACTGCCTGCTATTGCTAGTTTGCATTTCAGTTTCATTTCATTTCTGTTATTTCGCATTAGGACTGTTAGAAAACAACAACTCTCTGCTTGGCTTGACTTAGCAAATTCTGATCATATCTCATCTGTTTGCATCACACTAGATTGGATTGACAACCTATAGTACTACAACGACATGATAGTGCTTTAGGATTTAATTGATCTTAAAAACCTATTATCAATTTGGCGCCGTTGCCAGTTTAGTGTTTGTTTGCTATATTTGAGATCATTAGAATCGTTAAGATCAAGTTCGTTTTTGTTACACAAGATACTGACATTGTGTTTTTCTGTCTGTGTTTCACGTACTCACAGCAACCAGCTTTACAGACTCATCTCTGATTGGTCTGCTAAAGCCTTGTTGTTACCTGTTATATGCATACACGGTCAAGAGGAAATCAGAATCTCCTTTTCAACGATAACATCGACCGTATCGCTCGCCAACTAAGAGAACAGACAGCAACAGACACAATGGCTGACATTGTAGATGACTAAGACCAACCCAACAACATTGGTGCTGGTGACTTCCCACACAATCACAACCAGCGTCATGGAATTGTTCCTCCACCAGTCCAGAATAACAACTTTGAGATCAAGAGCGGCCTCATTGCAATGGTTCAGGGGAACAAGTTTCACGGCTTGCCAATGGAGGATCCGCTTGATCATCTTGACGAGTTTGAAAGGCTCTGTGGCCTTACTAAAATCAATGGAGTAAGTGAAGATGGTTTCAAGCTTCGCTTGTTTCCATTCTCACTTGGAGACAAAGCCCATCTGTGGGAAAAGACGCTACCCCAGGGTTCAATCACGACCTGGGATGACTGCAAAAAAGCCTTCTTGGCTAAATTCTTCTCTAACTCCAGAACAGCAAGACTCCGGAATGAGATATCCGGATTCACTCAGAAGAATACTGAAACCTTCTGTGAAGCATGGGAGCGCTTCAAAGGTTATCAGACCAAATGCCCTCATCACGGCTTTGGAAAAGCTTCTCTTCTCAGCACACTCTACAGAGGCGTCCTTCCCAAGATAAGGATGCTGCTTGACACCGCTTCCAATGGGAACTTCCTCAACAAAGACGTTGGTGAAGGATGGGAGCTCGTTGAAAACTTAGCTCAGTCGGATGGCAATTACAACGAGGATTATGACAGAAGCATCTGCACCAGTCCTGACACTGATGACAAGCACCGCAAAGAGATGAAAGCTCTCAATGAAAAACTAGAGAAGCTCCTGCAAGTGCAACAGACGCATGTTCACTTCGTCTCTGAAGATGAACAATTCCAAGTCCAAGAGGGGGAGAATGATCAGTCTGCTGAAATCAGTTACATTCAGAACCAAGGTGGCTATAACAAGGGTTACAACAACTACAGACCAAACCCGAATCTGTCATACAGAAGCACCAACGTTGCCAACCCTCAAGACCAAGTTTATCCTTCTCAGCAGCAGCAACAACAACAACCCAAACCGTTTGTTCCATACAACCAAGGCCAAGGGTTCGTTCCAAAGCAGCAGTTCCGGGGAGGATATCAACAACATCAACCACCACCTGGTTTTCCATCACAGCAACATCAAGCACCTTCGCCTCCGGATTCTGATATGAAGAACTTGGTCCAACAGATACTTCAAGGGCAAGCCACAGGAGCGATGGAAATTGCAAAGAAGTTGGCTGAATTAAACAACAAAGTCGACCGCAATTTCAATGACCTTAACAGCAAGTTTGAATCATTGAGTACTAGACTGCGCTATATGGAAGGCAATCCTATTTCAACATCCATTTCCAACAACCCAGGCCAACTTCCAGGGAAAGCAATCCAGAACCCAAAGGAGTATGCCACTGCTCATGCTATCACTATCTGCCATGATCGAGAGCTGCCACCTCGGCATGCCCTTAACTCAATCACTGAGGGCAGTGTGGTTCAAGAGGGGGAGGATTTCTGTCAAGATGACGTTATGGCTGACCAAACACTAGAGGAGCCCATACTTGACAAGCATTCTACTCGCCCACCAGCTTCACCAGTCGCTCCCACTGTTGAAAAACCAGCTGCTGCAAAGACCAAGGATACAGTCTTTGTGCCACCTCCCAAGAAATTGGGAGATCCTGGTTCGTTTACCTTACCTTGCTCTATAGGTCCTTTAGCCTTCAGTAACTGCCTATGTGATCTAGGTGGTTTTATAAGTCTCATGCCTCTCTCTGTGGCCAAGAGACTAGGTTTCAGCGAGTACAAATCTTTCAACAACTCCTTGATCCTGGCTGACGGGTCTGTTAGACTACCTCATGGGTTATTAGAAGATTTGCCTATTAAGATTGGAAATGTTGAAGTCCCCACAGACTTCATAGTGCTCGAAATGGATGAAGATCCAATAAATCCTTTAATCTTATGGAGGCCCTTCTTAGCTACAGCCGGAGCAGTCATAGATGTCAAGAAGGGGATGATTGATCTTAATCTTGGAAAAGATTTCACGATGAAGTTTGACATTAATGATGCTATGAAGAAACCTACTCGACATGACCAACACTCAATCACTGCGGACAGTGAAGTTCAGGAAGGGGAGACTTCTAGACGCATTGAAGTCTCAGTTGTTCAACTCAATCATTCAGCTCAACCTCGCCATCAAACTCAGTCTACCTTGGAAGAGAAAGCTGCTATAATTGAGAGGATGGTAAAACGACTCAAGCCAACTCCATCACCTTCACTTGCTCTCCCATGGAAGTTCAGGAAAACTTGGAAAGACAACTATGAATCTCTTGCAGAGAAACAGCTTGACGAGATGGAAGCAGTGATGCCATTAATTGAAGTTCTCAAGCTGATTCCGGACCCTCACAGAGATGTGAGAAACTTGATACTAGAAAGGCTCAACATGTATCAAGATTCAGGTGATGAATATGATGCCAATCCGATTCAAGCCTCTGATGAGAGGATTATTCAAGAAAAGTTGGAAGATCCTGGATCTTTCACTCTGCCATGTTCCATCAGGCAATCGACTTTCAGCAATTGTCTATGTGATCTAGGAGCTTCAGTCAGCCTAATGCCACTCTCTGTGGCAAGGAAGTTGGAATTCGTCCAGTACAGGCCTTGCGACATCACCTTGATTCTTGCTGATAGGACTACAAGGAGACCTTTTAGCCTGCTGGAGGATGTGCCAGTAATGATTAATGGAGTAGAGGTTCCTACTGATTTTGTTGTGCTTGACATGGATGAAGAATCTAAGGATCCTCTGATCTTAGGAAGACCTTTCTTGGCCTCAGTGGGAGCAGTAATAGATTTCAGATATGGTAAGATTGATCTCAACCTTGGGAGGCACGTCAAGTTGCAGTTTGACATCAACAAAACTCCAACAAGGTCAACAACAGAGGGAAAGGCCTTGGAGATTCAGAGAGCGGTTCCAGGAGAAGGATTTGAGGCTGCAAAAGTGAAGAAACCAATTCTAGTCCAGACTCAACCTTCAAACTCAATCGCTAAATCGAGTATACCTTCAGCGCTTGATTGGCGAGAGCTCAAAAAGAAATCTGATCTCCAAGAAAGAACCATTCAGAAGCTGACCCACACTGTTGAAAAGCTTAATGACACACTAAGACATATTCAAAGGGGAGTTCAATCTCAGATCAACACTGACATTACTTCAAGAGGGAAAGTCACTTCGGGATGGTCAGAAGAAAAGGACTATCCACCAGAAGAGGAAGCAGCTTACTATGAGGAAAGGGGAATTGAGTACTCAGCTGCATAACTATCAAGGGAGAATGCTGAGTATAACGATGAGATCAGTGAAGAAGAGGACTTCTCAAGTTCTCTCTGTCACATATTTTTAGCCTAATAAGTGTGAGGAGTCAAGCTAGAGACTCTAAACAAGCTCACTTGGGAGGAAGTCCCATGATTATCCTTGTATATACTTTTATTTTTAGGTATTTTTGATGTGTTTTGGTTGTGTCTTTGGTTCTCAGGGAATAAATAGCATCTGGAGTAATAAACAAGTGTGCGATTGAGTGTTGAAATAAAAATTGTTTCAATTTTTACTAAACCACTCGATCGCAACATAGGAGTGGAGAGCTCGGGCATGCGATCTAGCGGTTCTGGATCACATCCTTTTCAACAATGTTTTTAAACCACTCGATCGCAACACACACTTGGTGAGATCGAGTGGTCATTTATTTGGCTAACCCATTTTACTCGATCGCAAGGGTAGGTGAAAGTGTCCGACAAGAACTTCAATGACAACCCATGCACCCATGGAGTCCACTGGACTTAAATCTCCACCAACACTCCAAAAAGTCCCAAGTCGTGTCCCCTTGTAGCCCATGACACACAAGTGAAGGATTAACGGCCCATACTCAATCACAAGGCGCGTAGATTAAAGCAGACCCATCCTGCCGACATCATAAAGGGTCATTGCATCACATCCGTCCTTTTAAAGGCAACACACCTCCTCCACACATTCAAATCGCAAAAGGGAGATAAGTATCACTACTCTTCACTTTTTTGCATCACTTGCGATTTCAAAACATCTCTCTAGTTTATCTCTCTACTTCATCACCAAAAACGCTCTCAAATCTTCCTTTGCTTCAAGTGTTGTTCTTTAAAACAGAGCGTTAAAATCGCTAGATCGCAACTCAAGTAGCCTAGACCACCAAGGCACTCGATCACATCTCTGACAGAAACCACTCGACCACGCTTTTGGAACCGTCTCTCACCTCGTAAACCACTCGATCGCAACACTGTTACAACTGAAAGTCACTTCTCCCATTCCCTTTGTTTGTTTCTCACTAACCTACTAAGCTTTAGTTGTGAGTTTCAAATCAATTGCAGCTTCAAGATTAGTGCGCACAGCTACTAATCATCCATGGATGCTGACTTCAATGTTGAAGAAGCTGAATCTTGGTCAACTAGACCAGAAAGGGAAGCAGAAGAGTATCAGCGATTCGTGGAGGAAACAGAACGAGCAGTTGCTGAGGACCGAAGAAGAAGAGAAATTACAAGAGGAAAGCGGTCAATGACGGAGCGGTATGAACTCATCGATGAAGACATGAAGGATGACGCAGAGTATACTCCATAACTAGTCCGCAAGACAACCAAGTCGCTGATGAAAGAGGATAAGCTCACTCCTGAGGATTACTACAACCTCTTCAAGGGAAATCCTTTCTGGGGAACAAGGTACCCCCATCCGGAGACCATGGCGGATCTTGGAATTCTGGAGGACGTTGAGCTGCTGTTCGAGAAGTGTCACATGGCAACACTAATGTCTCACCCTTACCCTGCTTATGAGGAAGAGACCATTCAATTCCTTTCGACTGTTCAAGTAGAGTTGTTTGAAGGGCTGTCAGCTGCAGAATTGAGAAAAGAAAGACTGGGATACTTGAGCTTCACCATTGACGGCCGCGACTACGTCATGACCATCAAAATGTTGGAAGACATGTTCGGGTTTCCTAGTAGCACGGGAACGAAACCAAAGTTCATACGAGATGAGATTAAGGCGTTGTGGAACACAATCGGAGATGACACCACTTTCAGTTCCGCCAGGTCTAAGAGTAATTCTATCCGCAACCCGGCTATCCGCTACTTCCAACGTGCCCTGGCCAATGTCCTTTATGCTAGAAGTGTATCCGCTACCTTAACCAACCCAGACATGGAGACGCTGGACTTGGCGTTGAAGAGTTTACTCTGTTACACCAAGAACGGCGAGACGATGAGAGGCGATTCAAGCGACACACCTCCGTCCATGTATCTTCTCAACCACCTATGCAGCTACAGAGGGTGGGCTTTATCCAATAGCAAGAAGAGAGTAAAAGGAGCTCTTTGCGTTGGAGGGGTGGTGACACCAATTCTCCAATTTTTTGAAGTCCCTTTGACATCGGCTCCAACTGAACCAAGGTGGATGGACATTGCCCATCTAAAGCTTGCCCATGTGATCGAGCACCAAATGCATGATGAGAGATACGCCTACAAGTTTGACCATCCGGTGGTAGGAGATGCACAATTCCTCATTCCATTCCGCGAATTGACGACCATCACGGTGAGAGACAACATTGACTTCTCGCCACCCATCGAAACCCTCCATGCTGTGATTGGAGGCTCTTCATCCATAAACGTTGCTAAAGAAGTAGAAGAACAGAGCGACAATGAAGAGATTAGCTGGGAGAACTATGACACAAGCAGATTTCACTTCGAGGAACACAAGCCTCCTTCACGAGAAAGCAAGAGTCTCGCTGAATCACACCGGAAGCTCAGTCTAGTTCAGAAATGGTGCAAGTTTCAGGACAAGATCATCAAAAAGTGTATCAAGGCCCTCAACTGCACATCATCGACTACTGCCGTCGCAAGAGACAACCCGCCCGAAGACATGCCATCCAGGCGCCATGACATAGCCCCACCAAGGCAATCCGCCTATCAATAGAGAGAACGCGCCGCTCCGCAAGAACCCGCAAGGCACTCGTCTCACGAGATCAGAGAACACAAGAGGAGGAAGAATGCGAAGATAGTTCGTTCATCAAGCAAAGGGCGAGTAATGTCAAGGAGGAGATCGCATGATCGCCGTGCTCCACAACCTGCTGGGGTTACAATTGAGCACGATGATGAGGAGATGGCGGAAGCGCAGCTAGGACCTGTCATGCCTACGGATTACACTCAAGCGGAGATGGATGACTACATCTCCAGGCAATTTTCCTGAGGTAACACACCAAAACACAATTGTAAATACCGTTTTTGTTTTTGTTTCTTGTGTTTATCTTGAATTCTTTCACAAATTTTTATTACACAAGGGACTGTGTAATTTAAGTTTGGGGGAGGGTTCAAGACGTATTTGACTTGTTTTTTGTGAATATCATTTGAGTCTGCATATCATCTATGACAGAAAAAAACAAAAAAAATTTGAAAATTTCTGAAAATGTATTCCACAAAACAGAGTGTTCATGTAGTTGCATTGCATTTAGGATTGAGTCTAGAGTGTTTCATTTAGGATTGTTGCATATGCATCGGGGATAATGAGGAAATAACCTTGCAAGCATGTTGATTTACTGAATAAACTCAATGCCCTCGTTACTAGTTGTCTGATGCATTTGAATGACTTTGAAGTAAAACCGCACCATGTTCTATAGAAACCACTCGATCGCATGTCATGACACCTTTCCTTGTCAATTTGAACTTGAATCTGACTTATAATTATCATGTTTGCATCGGTTTTGAACTCGTGGATAGAATACATACTTGGATTTTCTTTCACTTATTCACCACTCTTGTTAATCCAAGTAGCTGCTTCTGTTATTGGAGTAGTTTCCCCACCCTTAACAAAAAATTCTTTCAAGCCATGTTATTTGTGAGAGCATGTGAGGCCTATTTCAGGATTGAGCTTGGTAGAACGTGTTAGGTTTGAGTCGACAAGAGTAGTATCTCATGTAGTTCCAATCCGCGTTTTCGGACTTGGTAGGACTAGGTGGAAACTTATTTGGGGATTGAGATTGAGTGTAAAAAGAAAAAGAAAAAAAAACGGGTTAAAGTCTTTAGGAGAAGGAAGTTAAAAATCATGTTCAGGTCTAGTGAATGTTTGGGAAGCACAGAATTGTTAAGTTATGCTCTAAAAAAAAAAAAAAAAAAACAATGGCAACAAAAACAGAAAAAAACTATAAGAGCCATAAGAGTTTAAGAAGAACCTGATTCACTAGACTAGACTCATAGAGTATAAGAAAAAACTCTCCTTAAGAAAAAGAGCTAAAGAAAAGAAATGGTAAACTGATCCATGAAAGAATCGAAATATGCCTTTAGTGCAAAAAAAGGGTAGACTTAGGATCATTAATGGGTTTAGAAATAGGACCATCTACTTGTTATTCACGGTTTATGTCATTGGGTAGATGGGATACTATTCTTGTATGCATAGGTTGGCACTTACCTTTAGCATTCTTCTAAAGCTCAATCCATTTTCACTAAGAGTCCCCTGTTATTAAAATCTGAACCACCTTAAAGGGACCATCTTTGTCTCATAACCCGTCCTTAGCCAAACGAGTTCACTAACGATGCACAGCTTGATTCATGTTTTTGAAATTAATGAATGTTAAGGGATTGGTTGATTTTGACGCATTATGCAATTGAGTGTTGGTTTGGATCATAACAGAGCATGGCTAAAGTTTTTAAGTAGAAGTCGTTCACCTCGCATCTTAGAACTATTAACTTGGACATTGAGCTTAATTACTTCATCACATGTTTTGGTTATGAGTCCCCAACTTCAAACCTCTCTTCCCGCTTATGTTTTCTTGTTTGCTTGAGGGCAAGCAAAGACTAAGTTTGGGGGAGTTGATATGTCTATAATTTGCATGATTTAAGCATTCATTCTTCATCACTTTGTCATTGTTTCAATCACATTTCATCTCATTAGTAGTCGTTTTAGTGTGTTTTGCATACTTAGGATGTTTTTGCATTAGGATTGCATGTACATTGCATATTTGGTTGTTTTCAGGTACTTTGGATGCTTTTGGAGTTCAAACAGAGGAGAAACAGAACAGAAATTCAGAACACTCAATCACGCCTTCAGCCAAAGCACTCGATCGCAACCTCGGAGCCCTGACAGAGCAAAACCACTCGATCGCAACCCCAAAAACTGTCATGAAGGGCAAACCACTCGATCACAACCCCGGAGCAATTTCAGAAGAAACCACTCGATCGCAAGATCGAGCAGAAGCTGTCATGGAGGACATATCACTCGATCACAACCCCGGAGAAGCCAGCAGCTTAGTTTCACTCGATCGCAAGCCCGGAGGGATCACCCACTCTACACCACTCGATCACCACCTTGTCATCAGAAGCCCATCTACTCATTCATCACTCAACCAGACAAGCTGAGCATACGGAAGAGAAGAGAAGCTGAAGACACCACTCGATCACCACCTCACGTCATCTACTCGATCGCACCACTTGATCGCGGGGTCGCTAGACCATTCCATCTCGTCTTCACTACAGACCACTCGATCGCAAGACGGAGTTCCCGAAGCCCAGTTTGATCAGTTTCACTCGATCACAGGGAAGCCCATCAGATGCTCGATCGCAGAGTCTCGATGTGAAGACCACTATCTCGAACTTTCCTTATTTAACTTTTCTCGCTTATATAAGCAGCCTCTAAGGGTTTTCCCTAGGGCATCCAGTCTTTATTTTCAGTTTTTACCTAGACTTGTTTTCGTAGCCGCAGTGTGTTCTTCCTGCGACTTTGTATTCGCTTTCAAGTATTTTATAATTCAGTTTTCGTTTCAGTCTTTATCATTTCCTGTTATCATGTTTTCAATCGTTTCATTGCTATTGTTTTTGATTATGTCTGAGTAGTGAATTGTATTTCAGAGGATGGGATAGAGTAGTCGTGGTTGCCTTAGTCGCTTTAGATGGTTGAGTTTAGATTGTTTGAATCCCTTCTGGATTAGTTGCGCTTATTGCTTGTTCCTTTCTGATCAACTGGAAAATGAATCCAGACATTCCCGCACCCAAAAGGTGTTTGATGGAATGTCTGATCCACTAATTCCAGAGATACTCGTCTCTATCCCAAGGTATTGGCCGTTTAGAGCGGGTATTGGCTTTAACAAGTTGATTCGATATTGCCTGCTTAGTTAGAGATCGCTAATGGTGATTAGGTCTGTGTCTAGCTCTGCTTGAGAATTTCTATCACGGTAGTGAATTGATTTGCATTTGAACTTGTTGTCAAGGGATGGCTTCTGTGAAGTTTTGTCAACCGTCTAAATAGATTAAGGAGACCACGCTATTCGATTACCCTGTCCTTAGGAATCTCTCATCCATTTGATTGCCTGCTATCTTACCTGCTTTGTTATTCAACTGCCTGCTATTGCTAGTTTGCATTTCAGTTTCATTTCATTTCTGTTATTTCGCATTAGGACTGTTAGAAAACAACAACTCTCTGCTTGGCTTGACTTAGCAAATTCTGATCATATCTCATCTGTTTGCATCACACTAGATTGGATTGACAACCTATAGTGCTACAACGACATGATAGTGCTTTAGGATTAATTGATCTTAAAAACCTATTATCAATGGCATTTTCGTTAATTACATGTGAAAGTAAGATTTTTTATTTAAGAATGATTGTTCAAATAAGGGATAAGTTATTTGATATCATATTTATAATAAAGTTAATTTTGAGATTATAAAACAATTTACCCAAAATAGTTTTTTTTAAAAAAAAAGGTAAAGAGGGCATTCTAATTATTTCTAAACAATAGTAGGTCATCATAGGTAAGATTTTCTTATAAGTTTGACTAGAATAAAAAATATAAAACCTAATAAATTTTTTGATTTTCTCTCCTACTTCCGCCTCCGTCAGCAAATCTCCGTGACGACTGCTAGCTTTCCACTTCGTCATTCTCACCGACGACTATTTGTCGTGAAGTATCTCTCGCCTACTACTCTATATCACAAAGCCTCCATCGGCGACGGATCTCATCAAAAAAGCATTTCTCACCACCGTCACCGTTATCATTCACTGACGGTCCGATAAGGTTTCCCTATTGATAGATTTTATGTAATTAGATTTTTTTACTTTTTATATTCATGTTCATTCTATCTTTTTCTTGTTTGATTGATTGTTATTTATGATTATATTGATAAGGTTTTAGATTTTTTTTTTTAAAAATCATATAAACTTTAGATGATTTTTGGAGGAACAAAATTTCATTTTTTTTTCTTTTTAGTTTATTCAGTCCATCATTTGTTCTTTTGCTACAACATGCATCATGTGAGTTTAAACCCAAATTAGGATACATTGACAATAACTACAAATCACCATCTTATATTTTGTCACATTGTCTTCTAAATTTTATTCAACAAATATATTTAATGAGTTTTCAGTCAAATTTTTGGATTTCGTTATAGCCATTCTCTCTCTTTATTCTATTTCATAGCAATTTTTTCCAAATGTGATGCTAATCAGAGCCTTGCATGAATGGAAAGCAATATAGAAAACAAAATAAAACACTTCTATACCATTTTCATCTATTACATCAATTACCTTTTAAAACATATTCATCAAGTAATACTGAAGGAGTAAGACTGTTATTTTACTAGATTGCCTTTAGTTTATTTTTATTTTATTTGTTTTGGAGTCATGTATAGTAAAAAAAAATTGTATTTCTTCCATCAAATTATATTTGTGGATTCATTTTTATAGTTTTCTTTACTATTTGATCAATTTTTTTCTTTCTTGCAGTAAGACAATGGAATTTGTTGCCAAAGCAAAAACCAATGGATTATCATCTCTCTCTGAGCTTCACAAAGTTGAGGGGCATGATAACTTTGCTTATCAGAGGGAGCCAAAACCGGTATTGGAAACAATTACATCTATTTATTTTGTTTTCTTGAATTAGTTTACATATGTAATTTATTATACTTCTTTGATTATATGAATTTTGCAGAATAATGCTTCTACTCAAGGTATTAGTAGTGGCAACAATGACTATGTTTCCAAAACAAATGCGAAAGCTATTGGTAGTAAGAACTTATATTCTATGTTTTGATGTTCTCTTTAAAATGAGGAACTAACAATTATACGTTTATCAAGTAGATGTTGCCAAGAGCACCAAATTTGTGAGTAGGATCAAGAATTCCAAATCCAATGAAGAAGAGGGTAATAAATTTGAGGTTCAAATGCCTCAAGGTATAAATTTAACTTCTGTTTTAGGCATTGATGTACCTTTTGAAGAAGTTGGAAATTTATTTCAACTTCTAGAATTTTGCTCAGTCTTCGGAAAGGTATGTTCATTTAATTCTATATACCTCAACCATGAACTCATGATTTTTTGTTAGTCTTTCTGTATTATTATTTACTCTCAATCAACTTTATTTGTTTTTTATGATAGGATCTGGGTTTGAGAGAAGGACAACCTATATCTATTGTGCATGAGCTTTTTTCAAGTGAGCGTACAAAGAGACAAATATACTCCTCTATTATCTCGATGATAATCCAGTTGTTGGAGTTAATATCACATGATAGAAATATGTATGAGTGTTTTTTTCTATCCTGAAATAGTATACATATATTTTATTTCTTCGTCTTTAAATTTCTGATGTCTTTGAATTATTACAGGTCTTTGTCTTTAAGTGAAATTAATAACAATTGGTTCAATGCTATTGGGGATTTAGTATTGAAGTCAGGAGTTTTAAGTGATGATTTTCCACCTGAAACATTTAAAGGAGGTGTTGCAAAGTATAATGAGATGGATGCTTCAAAAAGACTCAAGCTTCTGAACTTCTTATGCGATGAATCACTTACCACATTGTATGGTTATATATATTGCCAATATTGATTTTCTTTATATTTATTCTTTGCTATGACTAAAAACCTATTTATGAAACCTTCAGGGCAATGAGGAATTTCATTAAGAACAAAATTTTGGAGTTTGAAGCAAACAAAAAAGAAGCAAGACAAAAGGCTACAGTTGCAAATAAAAAGGTATTTTGTTAAATATGCAAGATGTTTTAAATATCAATTCCTTGTGCTAAACTTCAGTTTTTTTTATATAGGAAAAACAACTAAGGAAGACGATGCGAAGTGATTTTGCCAAAATCCATAAGGAAAATACCGGAGTTCCACTCTCCAGTGAAGAGCATAACAAAATTTTGTCTCAACTAAGAGCTCAAGCTAAAGAAGCTCATGACGAGATGATGGAGGCAAATAACATGATTTCTAAAAGTAAGTCTAAATCCATTATACTTTTTATATCAATGGTCTTTCAATTCTTGTGTTATACTTTTGTGTTTTATGTTGTTATGAAGGCTTAACTTAATGAAATATGTTTGTAGAGATGCAAACATGTGATGTTGTTAGAACTGGCCCAATCATATTAGAGGACAATGGACTTGTTCTCTGGAAACTGAAGTGTTTTGAGGAAGAACCAAAGTTTTTGCTTCAAGGTGTGAAATTTACTAACTCGTTGTTAATGTTTTGTATGACGTATTTATTAATTTAATATGCGTCATCTTTATGTATGTACAGATCTAGGAACATTTGATGATTTAAGTCCTTATGAAAAATGGTTAGCCTTTAAGGCTGAACAGAAAGAGGAGATAGAGAAATTTCTCTCTTCCAAGAGGTGAGTCATTTTCACCGAGACTATTCGTAGTAATATTTGAAAATCTCATGGCATGAAAATACTAATTCTTGCTCTTGTTTTGTAGGAAACAATGCAAACAAAGAAGAATGTGAATGGGGCAACATCCAGATTAGCCCTAAATTATAATGTCTAAGTAATCATTTCGGAGTAATATGAACTTTTTTTTCATTCTTTTTCTTTTTCATATATAATAAAAACAAAATATATCAAAATAGGCTATCATGTAATTTCAGAAGTTTAAAAAGTTTACTTCATTTCTTCGTATCTTTTGTTATCATGAGTTATTTTGTCCATGTCAGTTTAATTCTATTGTATAAAATAATTGTAATCGGTCTAATATTTTGTTCTAGTGGAACCCGATATGTGGACTATTATATAGATATTTCAATACTATCCTTAGACTTCACAAACAAGTTAAGACCCTTGTTTTCTCTAAGAGTCTTTATATAGTACAGAAGGCCAACCTCGCTAGTAACAAGAACTGTAAGAGTCTTTTTCTTTGTTGTGAACATATTCCTATTCGGTACAGAGTAAGTCAACAAAAGTTTTACACCCTTCTCTCCAAACCCTCCAAAATGGCTTCGTTCAACTCTCCCAATTTTGTTCCCTCATGAATTGGTACAAGCCTGGAGAAAATTTTGTTACTTATCTCTAACATCCACTCTCCGTCCGAAGAACACAACCACTCTCCACAAATAATCATACAATAGTCGTCCATCAAACCCTAGTCATATAAACCACAAAATTGATGTTAGTTACAGTGAACAATAATGGCATTACGATTTAAAGCTTTTTGGATGTGTAAAACTAGAATGTTGTCCACAATCGTACCTCCATTGCCATCTTCTCTCAGAAAGAGATTGTTATCCAAAACTCAAGCTTTTTCAACTCCTTTCTCTTCGAAATCCAACTCAAACCTAGCCATCGGACCGTACGTAAGTTAGGTGCTTTGTTTACAGTGCCATCATCTCGCCCGTCCAATTATTCCGATTTGACGACCAAAATTTTGCATTATCTTTGTCTTTAAACAACGAATCGCATTCGTTCTTTTTATCTACCTTATCCCATCGTTTGCCACATGTTTACATTATTCCCAATCGAAAACCAAACTCAACGCACCGGTTAAGCGGTTTGTGTCTTCAAGTTTGAAGGGGTAAAATTGTCTATTTTCACTCCAAAAACAAGGGAAATTAAAGTGCCTCTATTGTGGAAAGTACCTATATTGTAGAAACTTACTTTTAAAGTGTCTTATAGTGCAAAAAACTCAAAGAAAAGAAATGTATACCCTAAATAAGTGTACTAGACAGTAAGAACTTGACAGTACCCTAAATAAGTGTACTAGACAGTAAGAACTTGACAGTACCCTAAGTTTTAAGAGAACAGATGCAACAATTTTAAAACAACATAAACAACTAGTTTCAGAACTCTAAATCCCAATACCCTAAATAAAAATTTGGAAACCAAATCTGTATCTTCTCAAATTTCAGTACCCTAATTTGAATCAAATCCTAGTACCTTACGTTGATAACAGATCGATGCATATAAACCCTAAAATCAATGTTTTCTAAGACTGCAATCACATAGAACTTGGTCGAAATCACATAGAAATGAGAGTAAGAAGGAAATAAGAGTATGGAAGAAAGACATGCCTTCGATTTGAGCTCACTGACGGCTGCGCTGGAGAATGTGTCTGCGGTGGAGCACAAATTTGTGGATGGTGACAAGGTTAGTGGTTTCGGCTAGGCTTGGAATCGACTTTGGTTTGCAATTTGGCTGGCATTCGATAGAACTGAGGGAAATGAATAGTCTAACTGTCTAAGATGTTTGGGTTTTGTTGCTGAGTAGTCTGAACTGTTTAGATTTTGTCCAGAATAGAGGGAAATGAATAGATCAAAGGCGCTTAAGTGGATTATTTTGGCTAAAGGGTTAGCGGAATAAATTATTTTAGATTTCGTTAAAAGATTTTCGATCTTAGCGTTTATCAGGTGCGATTATTAAGTAATCAAAATCACAAACTCATCTTTTATAGCAGTTCAGGAAAATGAGCTATCCACTGACCACTACTAATATCAACGTGAATTTTTTTTATAGTGGTGGATAAAACGAAAAAAGAGATATGATGGAATATGTAAATGGAAAAGAAAAAAATTTAGTTAAGAATGAAGTCACCTCCTTGAAATGGATGAATAGTATGATTAGTGTTGACTTTTACTTGTTGCATTCTCTTGTATTCAAACACTCTGAAACAATGCTCAACCATGGTCTGGTGCTGATGGATGGAAGTTAAAGGAACGATATGCTAGTCGGCTGGTGATATGGGATCTATCGATCCATTGGCCAAACAGAATAATTTTAACTCCGACATCGACAAAAATAAAATCTACAAAGTTATACCATTCACATTGTCACAAAATAAACATAGTTTTTCGTTTGTGAAAGGATGTGGTTGTTTAGTCTTCTGTGTTGTTAAGCACATGCATTTTAACACAAAATCCATGTTATCTAAATTATTATCGGTATTCGATTAGTCTCATAGTATCAATAATAGACTATTATTACACGTTAATATACCTCTCAGTCAATTTGTTCAGTATATAGGTATTCCAAAAAACTAGAACACTATGTACAGAAAATCTTAACCAGTCTAATGTCAATATCAACAACTTTGTTTTCGTTCACCTAATATGCTCATGCTAAACAATTGCAGAAAATCAAGATAATCATTACATAAAAGCCATTATTTTTGGAAATATGTGTTATATTATTGTTAATAATCATTTGTGTTTCTGTTTCTGATATATTAAATAGAGTTAACATTTGTCAATATGCGTTGCTACTGATGTTTACTAAAGCTTATATATAGCTAGACTAACTAATGATATCGAGTTGAATAAATTTTCCAATATCTTCGTTTTAAAGTTTTCAAGATTTATGTATACATATAGAGGAATAACTAACCGGAGCAATGACTACCTAAGTCCGCTCATAGTTGTGCACCTGCCACCCCCACAAGTTGCTACCTAAGTTCGTTAGATGTATAGCTTATTAAATTAAAAATAAAAAGTGACTCATATACTTTATATAAATTGACTACATTTTTCTTACGTTATACTTTATAAATCGTCATATCTTATATTATTACATGAATATAGCACTGCAAATATCCACAAGAGACGTTTTTTACCTCCATCACGTTCATAATATATAGCTTTATTCTAATTTAGGGATAGTCATTGAAATTTGTTACATATTTTCTTATATATAAGAAACTATAGTATAGTATTTTTGAAAGCCAGTTTTACATTTTTGATTTGATATTCCAAAAATCTTAATTTGAAAAAAAAATCCTTATAAAGAAAATGAGAACTAAGAAAATAATAACCATAAAATTTGAAATATGCAGTAGATTATACTAGTAGTCTAGTATAGTATATTGATAAACCCCCTAATTAAATAATATAGGCAAATGATAAAATTTGCAAAGTTTTGGTAATAGAATAAAATGTAAATATAGTTAAACATAAAGTTTTTCTTCGCATTAAAACTTGGCAATTCATCTATAATGGATACCAAACTATATACAATCATTGATTTTTTTTTGTTGAGTCCGCGAAACCCTTTGCATGTAAGTAAAAGGATTCATGTAACTTAAAAGCAACATTGTATAAAAGTTTCTTTCAAAAAAAAAAAGTTGTGCAGGTAGAGAGATCAGAAATGTATACTTCATTTAATTAGTTCACCTTTTTATGTAACACTACTTTTATATTAAAGGTCAAGTAACAACTCAAACTCTTAGCCAAAAAAAAAGTAACAACTGAAACAAGTAAATAAATAAATAAAAACAATTTCACTTTTTTCGGAATGTGTGTCTGTCTTCCATTTCCATATATTATATAAACACCAAACGAGATCTCATATTCTTATTAATACAAAGAAAGAAGAGAGAAATAATGGGTTGTCGTCAAATTTGGATCATAGTCTTGTTTCTTTGTGTGGTTCAATTCTTGGACTGCACCGTTAGCTCCGCCGTAGAAGAGACTGGGACGGTGTCTGTGTACGGAAGAGCCGCCGTGGGAACAATAGACGAAGACTTCATTTGCGCCACCTTAGACTGGTGGCCACCGGAGAAATGTGACTACGGCACTTGTAGTTGGGACCATGCTTCCATTCTCAATCTGGTTTATTTGACTTTTCTCTCTTTTCTTTTTATCAATTTTTGTTTTCATCTTCATGTGTCTCCGTCGAAAACAATGCAACTTGTATTTTTGATATTTTTCTGACAAAAAAAAAAAAAAAGTATTTTTGATATTTAAAAAAAAAAAACAGAAATAAATTGAGATATTTGTTAGGTACTTCTCTTCATTTAGCAAATAGAATTTACTAATTGTAAAAATCGTAGAACTTAGAAAAAAATCATTTATAAGTTTTTTACCATTTATGGAATGTGGCAGTCAAAAATCAAGATGCGGCAAGTAAAAAGTTTCCTTTGTTTTGTCATCATATTCCATTTTTAACAATTGATTACAAAGAAAATTTGGTCATGTTAATATGAAGTAATTGATTAGAGAAATATGAAGTCTAATGAAAATTTTGGTCGATCTTCTTGCAGGACTTGAACAACATTATTCTTCAAAATGCAATCAAAGGTAATTAGATCACATTCTTGATATATTATATTGGTTATGTCTGGATTTGACCATTGTTCCATTTCCGAAAACACAGCATTTGCTCCTTTGAAAATAAGAATAGGAGGAACATTACAAGACATAGTAATATATGAGACACCAGATCAGAAGCAACCATGTCTTCCTTTTACCAAAAACTCTTCAATTCTCTTTGGTTACACACAAGGATGTTTACCTATGCGTCGATGGGACGAGCTCAATGCCTTCTTCCGTAAAACTGGGTACCAAAAATTCTCTTCTGTCCACTTTGTTTTCCTCTCTCTATCTCTTCCCTTATTACCTACTTGTGGTTTGAATCAGAGCTAAAGTCATCTTTGGACTGAATGCACTTTCTGGGCGTTCTATAAAACCAAACGGCGAAGCCATAGGAGCATGGGATTACACCAATGCTGAATCATTCATCCGGTTTACAGCACAGAATAACCACACCATAGACGGGTGGGAGCTCGGTAAGTCACTTTAAGACACAACAAAGAATGCATAGCCCTGACCGAATTCTCATCAAATCTCCAAGCTGGTTTTGCTTTTTGTCTCAATAGGCAATGAGCTGTGTGGAAGCGGTGTTGGTGCACGAGTTGCAGCAAATCAGTATGCTATAGACACCATAAATCTACGAAACATCGTGAACCGGGTTTACAAGAATGTGAGTCCCATGCCGTTGGTGATAGGTCCGGGTGGCTTCTTTGAAGTTGATTGGTTCACAGAATACCTGAACAAAACAGAAGACTCTCTCAATGCTACTACTCGGCATATCTACGATCTCGGTCCAGGTAACCCGAATGCTCAACTATCTTCGTTTCACATCCTGCAGGTTCATCATTTCCCTTGCCTGAATGTAAAGAAAACTATATTTTGACTGATTAGGAGTCGATGAACATCTGATAGAAAAGATTCTTAACCCTTCATATCTGGACCAAGAGGCAATAACGTTTCGCAGCGTCAAGAACACAATAAAAAAATCCTCAACCAAGGCCGTGGCATGGGTTGGTGAATCTGGTGGTGCCTACAACAGCGGGCGGAATCTTGTCTCTAATGCTTTCGTGTATAGTTTCTGGTAAGAAATAGATATCATGACAGCAAAAACTAGCTTATCATAAGCAATACACTAAAAACATTTCTAATGAGAGTATACCGCGTGATGGTAGGTACCTGGACCAGCTTGGTATGGCATCGCTTTATGATACAAAAACATACTGTAGACAGTCTCTGATCGGAGGAAACTATGGGCTGCTAAATACTACTAATTTCAAACCAAATCCAGATTATTACAGGTAACACAAGAAGAATTTGCTATGTCGACAGATGAAATGGGAAGAAGACGCAATAAAAATAGTATTTGACCCTAACTACAAATCATGCTACTTGTTAAATTGCAGTGCTCTGATCTGGCGACAACTTATGGGAAGAAAGACATTGTTCACAACCTTTTCCGGAACTAAAAAGATACGTTCATACACCCATTGTGCAAGACAATCAGTAAGTCGAGTTTCCATACAAGTAACAAAAATGGTATTATTCTCGATGAATTCTGATCTAACTTTCAAAGTTTCATCATGCAGAAAGGGATCACAGTTCTACTGATGAACCTTGACAACACTACGACGGTTGTAGCGAAAGTAGAGTTAAATAAGACTTTCAGTCTAAGACATACAAAGCACATGAAGTCTTATAAAAGAGCAACTTCCAAACTTCCACAGGATCCTAATGGGGAAATCCAAAGAGAAGAGTACCATTTGACAGCAAAGGATGGAAACTTACACAGTCAGACTATGCTACTCAATGGAAATGCTCTTCAGGTTAATTCGACAGGTGACTTACCTCCTATAGAGCCGATACATATAAATTCAACAGAGCCAATAACAATAGCTCCATATTCCATTGTATTTGTGCATATGAGGAGTGTTGTTGTACCTGCATGTGCTTAAGGTAGCTGCATATGGAACTTAAGACAGTTCCTCCATTCAGTTATTTGATCAAAGAAAAAGAAAGAAGTGTACCTTTCTTTCAGAAACCTATAAGGATTGAAAGCTGTAAGTTCAAAGTATTTGAACCAAACAAAATAAGTGAAACAATTTCCAAACTCAAAATTTTGTCTGCACTTTATTTCTGTTTAACATTCAAAACTGGTTGGGACTGTGAAGCCCGTATTGAGGACAAAAGACACAACAAACCCACTAAAGGGTCAAATAAAGCTACAAAAAAGCAATAAACTTACACGGAAGCCTTTCAAAGACCAAACGATTTCTCCACAAGTAAAAACGCCAATTTCCACCATATTGAGTAGAACAATAATGCATGACGATGGGATTAAAAGAATTAGTAATCAAGGAGCAAGACTGAGAGAACTTTAACTTTAGCTAGTTAATAGCTTAGTTGTCTTTGGCGAAGATGATTTAGCTAGCTCATGAGAATGTTGTGAATGTAGTCTTCCAAAGAGCTGTTTCTTCAATGACTCAAAAGCCACATGAAACCTCTCAAGCTGTTCCATTGCATTAGGATTGTATAAAAATAGTCCATAGTAAAGATCAAAGCTGTCACCAGCAGTATTCTCCACAAGTTTTAGCAATGTCTCATAACCTTTGGTATCGATAGGAGTAGATTCCAAGCTCAGCTTCTCCAGAAGCCTTCCCACTGTGTGTGTGATAAACTGTGATCCAGCAGCATGCCAATCATGTTCAGCACACGACATCTCCACCATACAACATCCTTCACGGGCAAAAATATCAAGAAAACTGTCACACCTCAATTTTCTTCTATCATCCATTCCAATCCTAACCTTATCAAACACAAAGGCAAGATTGTTCCATCCATTTTTACCACTTTCTGGTCCAAACATAGGATGTGTGCATAAAATATCGAAATCTTGTGGGAGAGTTTGAAGAAATGAATTTCTCGGGAACTCTTTTACTGAAAGCACATCCACAAAAAGTGTGCTTCTCTTCAGTCTCTGAAACGGGAGCGACTTGAGAACTTTTTCAGTCGAAAGGATTGACGTACAGAGAAGAATAACTTCAGGATGCTCTTCAAACAAATCATCAAGATCTGAAAGATACGAGACACCCAGCTTCGCAGCTACATCAGTGTAGTCAGTTCTGGAATAGGCTAAAACAGTGTGACCCTGCTTGACCATGGTTTTTCCTAGAAACTGTCCAAAATTACCAAACCCAACAATACCAATCTTGAGCCTCGAACCGTCATTAACACTGCCAGAGACTTGGGGGTTATATTCATACTTCACAGCAACATCTTCTGACCTGCAGGATCACAAATCGATAACCATTTACAATAAGAAATCAAATCCAATGTATGGAAACACAATGCAGCTAACTAACTACATACCTCATCATATCCAAAGAAGCATCAATTTCATAACCATTTGGAAAAACATGAACTTTCTTTGCTTCACCTTCAAATGACTGCTTCCTCACAACACCATGAAGTCGACTAAAAAGCTCCTTACGCAATGCCTCGAAAGCCAAATCAATCCTCTCTAACACCTCCAAAGAGTTCTTATTATACACAAACAACCCATAATACAAATCAAAACTATCCCCACAAGTATTCTCAGCTAAATCAAGTAACGCCTCGTACCCTTTCGTATTAATCGGCGTCGACTGCAACTTCAACATCCCCAAAAGCCTACCAAGAGTATGCGTTATAAACTGCGATTCAGCAGCAAACTTATCATGATCAGTAACACTCATCTCCACCATCTCACATCCTTCTCTCTCAAAAACACCAAGAAAACTCTCACACCTTGAGATTCTCAATCTATGTTCCCCAATCCTAACTTTATCATACACAAATCTTAATCCTCTCCAACCATGATTTGAATTCACACTCTGAGGACCAAACATTGGATGTGTACAAAGAATATCGAAATCTTCAGGTAAGTATTGAAGAAGAAGAGTTTTAGCAAATTCCTTAACAGAGAGAACATCAACGAAGAGAGTGTTGCGTCGGAGTCTTTGAAACGGCAACGTTTTGAGAACATTCTCAATGGAGAGGATTGAAGTACAGATTAAGACTACGTCAGGATGACGTTCGCAAAGATCGTGAAGATCTGTGAAGTAAGAGACACCGAGACGACGAGCGGCGGAGGAGTGATCGGATCGGGAGTGAGCGAAGAGAATGTGGCCTTGAGAAATTAGGGTTTCGGCGAGGAATTGACCGTAGTTGCCGAATCCGATAATGGCGATACGGAGAGGAGGGATTGGATCGGAATTGGGAAGAGGGTTGTTGTCGGTGACGGAGATGTGGCAGACGGCGGTGGGGTTTGGTGGGCGGAGAGAGAGAGAAGGGAACATTGAGGAGAGAGAGTGAAAGGAAATGGAGGAAGAAGAGAGAGTAGGTTTGGGGGTGATGAGATTCGGGAGGAAGAAGGAGGAGGAGGAGGATTGAGAGAGAAGAAGATGATGAGAATGAGATTGAGAGATCATTTGGAGAAGACGAAGGAGAGGATGATTTTGAATTCTACAGTCTCTGCCATTTGAATAGACTTTTGGAGCTTTGTGGAGATTTTGAAGTCTGCACGTTGTTAGACATTTTCTATTTTTTTAATTATATTATTCTTTTCTTTTTGTTTTTAACTCAAAATATTTAAACACATGAACTAGTACATGGTCTACCATGTCAATTCAAAGGAGTATTTTATGTTTAGGATGATTACTCCACATATATATTCATATATATGTCAAAGGAATATAGATATTCTGATGATTTTCGTTAGTTTTAATGAAATATATGACATAGTATATTCTTTTGACATATATATAGATATAATAAAAAAATATGTATGTGATTAACCATTTAATTCATACAATAAAACTGAATTATATAAAAAAATAATACATGACATAGTATATTCTTGTGAGTTTTATAATTTTGTAAATTATAGATTATATTAATAAAATATTAGTAGGTAATAACTTTATTTTAATAGTTATAACCAAAATCATTTTAATATTGACTTATTTATTTTATAATATTATTATATTTACGTAAAGGAATAATAGAGCCGGTCGGCGTGCTGCTCGTACAAGAGCAACGAGTAGTGGTGGCGGTACGAGAGACAACAGTTTAGGATCATCGACATGTTGTAGGTATTAGCGGTGATGGTCCAACACGCAACGTTTGTTTACTTAAAAAAATCATCAATTATAATTTCATTACTACATCCGTTTTAGTTTTCATTAATGTTTGAAGTTTTAGAAAATTGAAAATGTTGATTGCATAAATGGACGCTTAAAACTACTTTAATTCTGCTTGTTCCTGTAATTAATGAATTCAAAGCGAAAGACTATATGATTAGGTTACCATTAGATCTTCATAAACGAAGAATAAAAGCAAAATTTTATGAATTAATCATGAAGATGGTTAAGTGAAAGTTAGAGATGAAATGCAAAATATATTAATTATTTGAGAAGGTTTTGATTCTACAACATGACATTAAGCGTTTGTACTCGTGTAGAAGTTAATACAATCATAATTTGGACCAAATCTAATTTAATTAGTTGCTAGAAAACAACTTTACTCCTTTATAGTGTGCTCTGTTTATTTTTTCTCAACTCTGTTAGGTTGAGCGAAAAAAAAAAAGAAGTTAAAGGTGAAGAGCTGATAAAAAGAATCAAATTTTATGTAGAAAAGTCTGCTAGAATCCATATATTATATGATGTAGAATTTATCTTTCACAAGTATTGAGAAGATATTTTCCAATAAAAAGCTCTTTGTTTGAATAATGTCATACACTAATGTAAGAAATTAGGAATAGGAAAAGGAAAGTAAAATAATCATTCAAGAATCTAAATTCAGTTATTATTTGATTTTATTCTGAGATGTCATCTATATTTATTATTTGAATTAATAAATTACACATACAAAAAAAATAAAAAATAAAAAAATTTAAATATCCTAATATAAATTGCAAATTTTTTAAGGGTAATATTACAAACTAGCCAAATAAAACACATGAATTAAGAAACTGACCATGCGTCATAATTTTTTGGTAACTAACCTTTTTTTGGGAAGCGAAATAACTATTTTATCCTCTGGGCGATAGGCGGGAACGCTACATCTCCGACAATAGCAGTGTAGGTGTAGGGAACAAAAAAATAGTAGGGACACCGCCACATAAAACATTCACATGCAATAGCCCGCAATGCATTAAAATAGCATGCAACAGAACACATCAATTAATTACAATTGCACGCATCATGTATTTGACTTACTATTGTAGCTATCTAGTGACATAGTTAGTTGATGGGCATTTAGAGCATTATGTGGAAGAATAGTATTGACAAAAAAAAATGTAGCATGGTTAACAAAAAGATTTAGTGAATTACTTGATCCCTATGAACGTATGAATGTTCACATAGAGGTCAAACCATGCAGAACAAGTCATTATTGAAGGAGTAGACTTAGACGACTATATAGAGAAAAAAACATGCAATATATAAATGCCATAGAAGTATAGAGCTCGAAGCAAACATACCGAAGATGAGGTAATGAGTAGATCGCTACATTAAAAACACATGCAATAGAAGAAAAACGATTGCAAGGATTTCATTTTCCGGAGTATACAGTTGGCCGCTATTTTCCGGAATCACATGCAATACATAAATGGAAAGAGATTTACACAACTATATAGAGGAAAAACATGCAATATATAAATGCCGTAGAAGTATAGATCTCGAAGCAAACATACCGAAGATGAGGTAATGAGTAGATCGCTACATTAAAAACACATGCAATAGAAGAAAAACGATTGCAAGGATTTCATTTTTCGAAGTATACAATAGGCCGCTATTTTCGGGAATCACATGCAATACATAAATGCCTTAGAAGGAAACATATGAAAGCGATGATGATTTCTATAAGGTACACAGACGCTCATATACACGAAAACAATGGACTTGGTGTAAAAATTTAGTAATGGGCTTCAAAATTTACAAAACCCATTGATGGAGTAAACAGAATGGGTGCAGTTAAAAACACATGTAATTTTGTATTAACGCATTAATCATTCATGGCCAACTTGCAGTTAAATAAAATTATTGTTTAATAGAGGATTGGACACTCTAGCTCTCGCAAAAACCAGATATCTGATACATATCCTTGCATTAAATACGGCGAAAGTGATAATACATCTTCCAATGTTGCATTGGGGAGGGGGGGGTGACAACTTGTTCTCCTTTGTAATTTTTAAAAACATGAAATATATATATATATATAACACATGCGATGGAGAATAGAGAAGCACACAAACGACACGTCGCATATGACGTATTTGAGACGACGTCAATAGCGGTGGAAGATTTGGTAAATCTTCGTTTCCATACGTGTGAATGCGTCAGTGAATGGAAAAAGGTTTAACAGCATTGGTTCTCTTTAATTGCATGATATATTCGTGAAATACATTTAGATGTTTGATTTGACAGTTTTTGAACAAACTGATTTGCTGAATCTCGCCGCCCTCGAGGCTTGGGGGGGAATCACAACGTTTTCAAATTTCTGTGGCTCGAAATGTGTAAAACACTGTTGACAAAAATATCTAAATAAGTGTAGCCCTAATTACAGTTTCCTATAAAACAAGAGAGATGGCAAGATATCAATGCTCACACCTCTTCTTCTTTCCAAAAAACACAGACAAATAAGTAAACAACATTGAAGAAGTTTTTGTTATAGTCTAGGTAAGCACTAAATGCATGTTTTTTTGGTCCTTAAGCTATGCTATCTTTCGTTATATCATCAAGATTAATAATGTTGACTTTTAGAATTTAATGCAAACAAATTCTTTTGTAGGTACCAATGGTTGTTATTACCGAAATAACAGACCCTGATGTACAGACGGTTAGCGGCTCATGGGCGATCGGAGCAGATGGTAGCTGGGTTTTCATCCCCAATCCACAAAACGCTGTTTGACGGATGAGCATCCGAGAGGGGGAGAAAGTTGCTATTGTCCGATCGCTTGTCAGAGAAGCGTATGGGGTGGAGTATGTTGGCTGCCAACTACACTTGTCGTACCAATGACCTGATTAGATGGATATTGAAGCAAACTTTGGAGAGAGGACACGGCCAGTACCGATAACAACTGACGAGACGATGGGCATTTTCCTGGCTATGCGTTATGAGTTGGACGACTTGAACTTGTTTGTTTCAAAAGAAAGTGTAGATTGGGGTTTAAGTGTTGGCGAAACTAGTGCTACATCGACTTATGGTTTGCCAAACCGAGGGAAAATGCCGTTATACTGTGATGAGGCCCCATCTCCTAACTACAACAACTCCATGTGACATAAGCTAATGGATGCTGACGCGGTACTACGTTGGATGCAGGCAACGCAGCCACAAGGCAGTCAAGTAGGAGAATCTTCTTCCAATTTCCATCAAATCCTGTTGGGTGCAAACGTTGAGCGAGCCTTTGTTATTGCATTCACTGGTAGTGAAGATAGCGATAGCACGGACGTTGATGAGGTATAAATATGTAAAATCTGTTTTCATTCTACTTATCCTCAAAGGTATAACATTAATACGAAAATAATTTTCTACTTTGACGCAGGTGGAAGCCTCAGATTTAGTTGAGGCGGATTTACTTGTAAATCTTGGAATGCCGGCAATAAATCTGAGTGGCAAAATGAACGTTTCAGACAATGAGTATGATGACAATGCCGAAGAACAGACAATAAGAGAGTGTAATTTCTTTGGACCATCTGCAAACTACATGTCTGGACCACTAGGGGAACACTTGGATCTCGAGGTTTCCTTACATGAGGCTCTAGAGGACATGTGCCTGACTTCAACAGGGATGCCGCGCCTACACTAGATGACCAAGGCGAGGAAGGTAACATGAATTTGTATATTTTAATTGTGTATGATACATAAATATACTACATGATATACAAATATAATAGCATCAACAATAGACTATGTTTGGTCATCTGCTGTCACTCATAAGTACATGTTATATATTAAGAACACATGCTATATTCGGATTATAACTAACCTAATCTTATCAATTTATAAGTTGTATCGGGATGGAGTTAGCTCTTCGAGATCTTCAGTACGAAGGCGACGAATTGTTTGTGGGGCGTGTCTTCAAAATCAAGCAAGACTGCAAGAAATTGCTCACTCTGACTTGCGTTTCCGAATCATGCCCCTGGCGAGTGTACATAGTAAAGTTGGAAGACTCTAACAATTATCAAATTCGCAGAGCAACACTGGAGCACACATGCATCGTTGAAGAACGAAGTAATTACCACAGAGCAGCCACGACTCGCGTGATAGGCAGCATAATGAAAGGAAAATATGAGGGCAATACTAGAGGCCCGCGAGCAATTGACCTACAGAGACTTCTTCTGACCGATCATTCTGTTAGAATTTCCTATTGGAAGGCATGGAAATTCCGGGAAATTGCTATCGAGGGGGCAAAAGGATCAGCTGCGAATAGCTTCTCTCTCTTACCGGCTTACATACATGTACTACGGTAGGCGAACCTAGGATCCATTGTTGATCTTAAAATAGAGGTTGATGCTAAAGGTATTTATAAGTTTAAATACCTTTTTCTAGCATTCGCAGCATCTGTCAAAGGCTTTCCATACATGAGGCGTGTCATTGTAATCGACGGGGCTCATCTGAAAGGGAAATATGGAGGCTGCCTCCTTACAGCCAGCTGCCAAGACGCCAATTTCCAAGTGTTTCCTCTAGCATTTGGAGTTGTGGATAGCAAAAACGACGATGCTTGGGAGTGGTTTTTCTGGGTTTTGAGCACAGCAGTACCAGATGATGCGAGTCTGACATTTGTCTCAGATCGTCATTCATCAATTTACACGGGACTGCGAAGGGTAAGCCTAAAACGCATTCACTTCTATACATGTTATTGTTGATAAACCTTGGAAATTTTAAATAAGTTGTGATGTTTATATATGCGTCATACAATATTTAAATATACCCTGCTATATTAACTTATACATAGACATAAAGTATGTATCTGATGCTGTCTGTGAGATGCAAATTTTGAAGTGCATTTGAATTTGTTTACATGTTACGTTGTATTACAGCATGTGATTTAATAAAGTTACATCTTTATGGCTGTAGGTATTTCCAAAGGCTAGGTATGGCGCTTGTGTAGTTCACCTCCAGCGGAACATTGCAGCCGCCTACAAGAAAAAACACTTGTTGTTCCACGTTTCCAGAGCTGCTAGAGCATTCAGGATCTGTGAATTTCATACATACTTCAATGAGGTGATAAGACTTGATTCGGCTTGTGCACGCTACCTAGAGTCAGTTGACTTTTGTCACTGGACAAGAGCTTACTTCCTGGGGGAACGCTACAACGTAATGACTAGCAATGTTGCTGAGTCATTGAACGCAGTGTTAAGGAAGCCCGTGAACTCCCCATCATTTCTCTGATTGAGTTCATTAGAACAACTCTAATGTCATGGTTTGCGATGAGGCGCGAGGCAGCCAGATCAGAGACATTTGCCCTGCCACCAAAGATGAGAGAAGTGGTGCATCAAAACTTTGAAAAGTCAGTGAGATTTTCCGTTAGGCGCATAGACAGGTATGATTATGAGATCCGAGGAGAAGGGTCCAGTGTTTATCATGTGAAGCTCCTGGAATGCACCTGCTCGTGCAGAGCATTTGATTTGCTTCACTTGCCTTGCCCGCACGCTATAGCTGCTGCAGTTGGAGAGGGGGTTCCTATACAAGGACTAATGGCGCCAGAGTATTCCGTTGAAACTTGGCGAATGTCGTACCAAGGGACTATAAAACTAGCCCCTGATGTTGGAGATGTGTTTCCCTTACCTGAACTCGTAGCGTTTCTTCAACTATTCCCTCCTGCAACCCGCAGACCGCCTGGAAGGCCGAAAAAGAAGTATATAACATCAAGGGGAGAGTATCAGGTAACAATTATTTTTTTTGTTAACCTTTAAACAATTTACTGGTTTTCCTTCTAACATGTGTGGTTTGCAGGCGAAACAACGTCAGATAACACGTTGTTCACATTGCACATGCACTGGCCATAATCGTGCCACGTGCAAAATGTCCATATAGAGGTATGAACTGCTATCTTCTAAAATGCAAAAATGTGGTTTAATAATAGCATGTAAGGTTTTGATATAACATGGTTTGTATATTTCTACTGGGCAGGGGTAGTGGATGTCTCGCGTTGTTTGCATGAGTTGTAGTAGGTTATGGCTTCTAATCAAGGAGAAGTCCATCAAGAATGGAGATATATCTAGTAGGAAGGCTACTTTGTTTATGTACATGGTAGAATAGAGACCTTGCTTTGGGGTGGCGCCTTAAGCTAAGGACTGATGAAGTCAAGTAGAACCCGTTCCAGCCAGTGTTGGTTTTTTGTTGTTTTTTGGTGTTTTTTTATAGATAAAGTAAGAATTACCTCCGGTTGTATCCTGACCCATGATATTAAATAACAACGCGTGTGTTTAATTAAAATAAAGTGTTATTACTATCGACAACAAACTCCACCATAGACAAAACCTAAACTAACACATGGAGTTATTAATCATCCAATGTCATCTGAAGAAAACTCATGTGATTCCTAAACCACTAGGAGTAAATTAATGCCATGGGTGGATATCTACAATGACGTTTCATACATGTCTTTCCAACCATACACTAGTACCAATAAATGCATGTATACATAAATTACCTCATGGAGCTATTATTCAACCAATGCTATCTGCAGAAAACACATGTCATTCCACAACCACTTGGAGTACATTAATGCGATGGATGGATAGCTTTAATGACGGTTCCACCTGTCTTTCCAACCATACACTAGTACGAGTAAATGCATGTATACACTAACAGACTTGTTTGTCCTCTATTTAAATACAACATGGCTAGTTTCTTTGCCAACCAACCTATTTCGATATACAATAACCAAAACTGCAAAGGTAGAACGACTCATTCACTAGATTTGGGGGTCAAATGAGAGAGTATAGGCAGCATCCTGTCTACATGATGATTGGAGGCTTATTCAGGACACAATTTGAAAAAGCTTTGGAGACAAACAACCCGGAAGCGCATTACTTAGAAGGTCTAAGGTATGCTTGTTGGAAAAAAGACATAGCGATAGCAAAAAAACATATTTTCAAAGCTGTAAACATAGTACCTAAGGCAACATTCGTCTTGGCTATGTTGTCTATTTGCGCTGGAGAGAAAGAGCTGGGAGAGTTCTTCACCGACCAATTGTTTGCACAACCATGGGCTGAGGTTTTAGGTATGGATGACTCTATCTTTGCACATCTTGAACGCATGAATGTCCGTAACAGTACAGCGTACGCCCAAACGTGGAATGGCGCCATCCCAGAGTGTTCAGAGATCCATAACATATACAACCGCTGCGAAGAGTGCTACATCTTTCGGTGTTCGAAGGAATTTTGTCGCGTTGTTAGGTAACACAATGTTTAAGATCTAACCTGTTGTTCCTTTGTTATTTTCAAAAATATATTGTTGAAATATGTTGTTGTTTCTGATTTTTTTTTCCCCCTCGTTTGTTGTTTCTTGTATGTGTACTATGTTGTTGTTTCTTGAGGCTTGAATGTAAAATACTAAAATATGTATCCATTTCTAGTGTTTGAGTACACATAAAAACACTATGACTAAAGTGATAATAAGCTTGCTACAACATGTATTCTTTAAAAACCGATGTAATATTTAAAAAACCGATGTTATCCGTACAATAAGCTTGCTACAAACAAATATAACACAACAAGATTGGAATAGCTAGAAATTAGAAAAATCGTGATATTCGTTAAAAACGGATGCAATCATTAAAATTAACAGGAGCTCTGTAGATATTCGTTAAAAACAATTGCATTCATGAAAACAACATGAGGTAAATAAACGGTAACAATTAAATTTGTCGATTTCTTTTAAAAAAGAGATGTACTATATAAAACAACATATGTCTCATATATATAACAGTACACAAACAGAAAACGATTTCATTTGTGAAATAAAGTGTGGGACATCTCCAAAAGGAAAGATACATAATCAGTAAGGTACAAACAACATTGTATCATGCTAGGCATACACATCAATCCCAATATATTACAAGATCCGGTTAAAAGAATAGTCAAACAGTCCCATTTGCTAACTCATAGGCAGCGATCATGTATTTTTTGGCAGCAGTGAACACATCAACAAGCTTCACACGCTTACATGCCTCAATCCCGCCAGCAGCATGAGCTTCAACTAAATGGGCGGCCATAACCCCTGAATGACGGACAAAACAAGCCTACGGGATCTCTTTCTCCCTGTGAACAACAAACGACTTTATATAGCTATTCTTTTCCCCACCTTTTTTAAAGCAAATCGAAACAGGTATGGGAACATCTCAGCCAAGGGCAAAAGAACAGTCTTCAGCTTCGGTTCACGCCATAATCCTGTAAAACAATCTAGCACACTCATCTTCCAATCCTTCATATTAACAAAGGGCCCAACCCAATGATGTTTGTCACAAAGAAACGGAATGTAGACCCTTTCAAACCCAGTGGGAGTGCATTCTAGAAGATCGTGATCAAACTCATACATCCCTTTATCTATTGTCTTGCTAAACTTGGGGTAATGCTTGAATAATTCATAAACAAAGGTGGAATCAATGAATGCGACATCTTGGTGCATCAAGATACTAGTTTTGGCTTGCCAATCAATCCTTATGCTATTTATGAAGATGTCCATAACCTATAAAACAATAAAAGAAGGTTCTATATGCGTATCTCAAGTGAGAAAATAAAGATTTTGAATAATAAAAGAGATAAGAACATACCAGTTGCGGTACTATTGACTTTAAATCAACAATATCTCTAAGCTCAGTGGATGAGAGGGTACGATTCGTCCCAAAATTAATCTCTCTTCAAATATAAGAGAAATAAGTTAGCAAAAATAGTAGGTACAGATGGTATTTATGCAAAAGAGAAGAAACTGTAACTTTTTTACCTAGCCAAGGAAGTTATGTGTCTTATCTTATCCACTCGGCCTACATTATGGCCAAATGTAACAGTCCTACTACTTGTGCATGGTGCAATGACGGTGTCAGATGGAAGCTGAAATTTGTGGGAAGATAATTAGTAGGAAATCTAACATTCTTAAGTGATAAACGCAAGTATTACCTCAGATGTCTGCAGAGGATTAGGAGAATTAGCCTTTGATGGCACCTCCTAAAATGCAGAAACACGCTTTTTAATTAGGTTAGTCTACTATTTTAACTTAATGCACCATATTTCTAAAAAATGATTTAAAAGATTTTGACAAGAGGGTGCTTAATAACTCTATTCTACTATTTATACTTAATCCATACTATTTATAAAAATAGGTTGAAAATATTTAGTTAATACTCGCATAAAATTGGAAACATGCTGTTAATTAAAGTCATCTACTATTTATACTTAATCCACGATATTTGGTAAAATAGGTTGAAAATATCGTGTATATCAGGTGTTTTAAAATAAACCTTGTTTTTTGAAATAAACCTTGGTTATTTTTTCAAAAACTTAATACACTGGCAACAGAGTTTTATTATCAGAAGAAATACATGAATGAAACCCATAAAGCATTATACTTTATACATTTATAATCATCAAACTCCCAAACTCTTTTATACATTCAACCTATTTATACTTAATGCACCATATTAAGACTCAAATTTTAAGATATTTATACTTAATGCACCATATTTAGGTGAAGACTTAAAGATTAAGATATTTATATTTAATGCACCATATTTGGTAAAATAGGTTGAAAAGACTAGGCATATCATGTATTTTTAAAATAAACCTTGTTGCTTTTTAAAAAACCAAATAAACCTTGTTTTTTCCTTGGAAACTTAGCTCCAGTATCTTTAAACTCTAAAAAGCATGACTTCTACTACTATGACCAAATACAATGCCCAAAACTATTAACATTTAGGAGGAAGAGCGTGCCTCAATGTCACCAAGCTTGGAATCGTCAACCATGAGCTGTTCATTAGTGGTGGCAGTTGGGGGGACAGATGTATCGGGAGATGGTTCCACTGGATTCAGCAAATTCTCCTCAGGGAGCAGGCCCTACAGTAAAACATTTTCATTAGAAGAATAATAAGCATCATTTAAAAACCCACACAAGCAAACAAAAATTTAAAAACCAACTTTTGATATGACACAACGTGCCTCATTCTGAGGAGGCATGGATTCATCACCCAAGTCCTCTTGAATGCAGGCAGCTAAAGCAGCATTTACTTCCTTATCTCCAATGATTTTTTCTGAATGAAGCGTATTAACCTGCAGGAGACGGAGATGTATAAGGAACCCAAATCAGTAAAACAGCTATACCAAAAGTAAAAACTCACTTCGGATCCATCTGTGCTGCGGAGATCTGAGTTAGACACTACATTTATGGCTGCAGCTGCAGCTACATCAAAGTCGGGAACCACGAGAGACGGTAAATGTGTGTGATCCTGCTGTTGTCAAGAAAACAACATAGAGACAGTTTAAATAAGAGTGAGGGAACAAATGGACTATAGAGCATCATGCAAAAGGAAAAAAACTAACTTCTAATGCATCTGGGCTGTGGAGAACTGTCTCAGGGACAACATTTTTGGCAGGAGCTGGAGGTTCATCAGGGTCCTGCTGAGATACATCCTCTGCTTGGTGTCGAACACCAGGCCCATGGACACCAAGATCTTCAGATACAGACCCATCTGCGCCACTAGCAACAATAGTTGTTTTACCTCTTTTCCTCTTCTGCCCATGTAAAAACAGTTACCATAGTCAAAAATCAGCCAATACTAAAGTCATAAACAAACCTAGAAAACACATAAACCTTTCTGCCTACAGCACATTGCCAAGTAGCCATTGCTGGTAGAGATGGCGCATCATTCAGTTCTGTCAAGATATTTCCTAAGACAGATTCAAGTAGTCCAGATGCGTTCTCTCCGCCAGAAAGGGATCTAGTGGCTCCTATATCAGCAGAAGATGAGACTCCCTGCTGATAATTACCACCATTTTTTTTTGCTTTCTCCACAGATCCATCTATGGTCTCTTCACCACTGACGCCATCCTTTGTTGATTGCTCACCATTTCCATCTACATCCCTCAGAATTTGAACATTAGAGTTTCCAACACCTCTAAGAGCTTCTGTAAACAACTTGGTCATACGAGCCTCGGAATCCGCAAGTGCTTTCAACACACGGTCCTCCATTCACTTGTCCTTCAAGTCAACGTGCTGTTTGAGGCCGTCAGAAATGTGGAACTTGCCTTTTCCTTTACGGTTTTTTGAGGAACCAACCAAGCCATTTGGGGGGTCTAGAGTTTCATCAGCGACAGTGTCCTGCGTGCTACAAATATCACTGTTGTCGTTCCTATCATCAGGCAGAGAATCTGGCACCAATCTCCCAAGGAACAGTGAGGCATCAAATTGTTGATGTTCGCGTACAAGTTGGAGAAGGTGGTCAACACCAGGATCAGCTTCGTCCTCCAGCCATCCACTGACGAAAGGGTCACCATTGACATCTCCACTTAAAATAGAGGGGACATTACTCTGGAAAAATAAAACACATGTTATCTATATGTAATACATACTACATACATAAGGATACGCAATATACATAAAACAATGTACACATATCAAAACAATTTCAGAAAACACAACAAAATACATGCAATGATTACAATTACAGAGATATTAGGATATATAACAAGCTATAATTAAAAATAATTACCTATCAGAAATTCATTAAAAAAAACTAGACTGTTAGTAACACACGCTATGAATATATAAAACATGTTATATAGGAAATTCATACGATATTCATATACAGTATATAACACGAAAGCACAACAAAATACATGCAATAACTACAATTACAGATATAATCGTATATATAACAGGCTAGAATAACCAAAAAAACCTATCATGAAGTCATACTATATGCATATATACTACTACATAACATAAACCTATGTACACATAAAAAACTTGAAATTAAGTCAAAATACATGAGCTAATTACAAGCCCAAATATATTTCAGAATATATCATGCTATAATAAAAAATAAAATAAAAAGACCTATCATAACATAGCACCACAAAAAAATCGTTTTAAGTTTACAAATAATGCAGTTATAGAGATAATTGGATTAGAAATTCGTACCAGGGACTTCTTATCGACCTTCCACACTATATCCAGGTTCAAACTCCATAGCCGCTCGATTTCAGAGTCAATATCCTCCATCTCAGAATCCCCTTCTTCGTCAACCTCAGGGAATTGCAACCTCAGGGAACACAGTGCAACAATAGCAGAGTAAGGGCATGAGGGAAACCTTGAACAGTTGCTGATTTCCTCATTAGCTTAACTGCTCCCTTTGCTCTAATGCTCTTTAGTGTCAACAGAAACGATGTAGTACCCCATGGGTGATTTAGAAAGTTATCAAGATTTTCTGACATCTCTGCATGAACTAGAGATATTTTGGTTCTACTAGACGTTGGGCACAGAACACCATCAATGAGAGCAAGAACAGCGTACCGCAATCGCATATCTTGGTCTTCTACCAAATGCTTCTTCAACTGACCAACAACCCATTCAACAGAAACATCGCCGCGATCAAATAGCTTGTACCAATACTTCCCAGGCATAAGTTTTCGTTTGCTCTTCCTCTCTTTGACAGCTGGGGGTTTGCTGCAGTTTAAACATGTGAGTCTTTCAAACTCTGAAATTGAAAAGCGAATAGGCGACCCTCCAAAACTGAACAAGATTTCATTTCTTTTGCTAACAACAAGCTGTCTCGTTAGCAAAAAATGAATTAATTTGCCAGAATATGCCCCTCCCTCTGGCAAATCAAATACTTTCCCAAACTGGGATTTCTTCAGAATTTTCATGTCTTCAGTATCTAAACTGTTTGCGATTTCGTCAATGTACCCTAGCTCAGAGTAAGATTGAACTCTCACGCCGTTGGGTTCAGATCCTTCTCTAAACAGAATCATCGGTAGTGTTGGGTTCGTTATCTGAGTGAGAAAGCAGCAAAATGGGTCAACAAACTAATGAATTTAAACAAAAAGTAGATCTGAAACGTCTTGATTCTCTCTTCACCTTATTTTGTAAAAACCCTAGGCTGCCAAAACGCCGAATGGATTTTTCCAGAGAAAACGACACTCGGGTAGGAGTCGAATGCAGAGAATCTGAAAAGCTGCGCAAATATCCAAAAAAACTGTGAAAAGTTTAAAAAAAAATTTCAGATTTGCTATTCATGGAGTAGAAAACCCTAAAGAATCACAAAAAAACAAGAGATCCTTGGATTAATCAGAAACAAACCTTCAATTTCTGTCAGATGGAAGAGAGGGATTAGTAGATTTCACGGTTTATCGCCTTCTGGGGAATTCGCAGGCGGAGCAAAGATGAAGCGGTGCCTAGGGTTTCGACTATCTCTCGAGGCGGTTGTCAATAATGAGAGTAAATAATTTTGTTTAATTAAAATTATATTTTCCTAAAAACGCAGAATGGAGCCCAAATATTCAAATTTCAAAATAGAGGCATCATTTGCCTATTGAAATATCTGTCCCCTCTACCGAAACACAGGTGTAGAGAGATAATTGTAAAATCATATGATTTTCCGACATATACTATGCATGTATGGTTAGTTTGTAAATTCTTTTTGAATTCAAGGTTGGTTCCTATAAATTCTCATTTTTTAAAAGACCAAACTAATTATTTTTGTAGACACCAAACTATTTCTAAAAAATATTTTTATTTTTTTAAAGACCAAAACTAAAAATATCAAATTAGAAAGTTGGTTAAAAGGTTACGTTATGCACTTTTATGCTTAAGACCCAATCTATTTGACTCAGCCAATCATAAATCTCCACGTATGTGGTTATCTTCTTCGATAGTTCATTCATATATATCCGACGGGATTATCAATGGCATCGAGAAGATAATCTCCCAAATGTCATCGTCAACCTTTAGGTATTCTTCATTACTTCTCTCTCGATTTCTTCAGATCTTAAATCATTCGATAGAGTCAACGAATTTCTCAGATTGATTCAGTTTCTTGCTTGATTCTAAATTTGTCGAATCTATCATTGTTTCAGTTTTGCATTAGATTTTGGTTTAAAATTAACATTTAGATTTGCGATTCTTTGTGGCGACAGGTAAAACTGTGTCTAGATTTGGGAGATTGAAGTATGGGCAGATTCAGTGTGATGAATCATTTGGTGATATTCTCTGTGTTCTTGAGCTCAGTGTTGGTATATAGAGGAGATGCTGGGATTACAAGTAGTTTTATTCGATCCGAATGGCCCGCGGTTGATATTCCACTTGACCATCATGTTTTCAAAGTCCCAAAGGGGTATAATGCTCCACAACAAGTGCATATAACTCAAGGTGATTATGATGGTAAAGCTGTTATCATCTCATGGGTTACACCAGATGAACCTGGTTCTAGCAAAGTATATTACGGCGCGGTGCAGGGGAAATATGAGTTTGTTGCTGAAGGAACATACCATAACTACACATTTTACAAATATAAGTCTGGGTTTATTCATCACTGCCTTGTCTCTGGCCTTGAGGTAACAATACCAAGAAGATTTTGCATTTCGGTTTTACTTTTTGTTTCTCAAGAACCATACCGAGAAGATATAAAGTAGTCATTTGGTGACAATGGAACTATATAATGGTTGTTTGTCTATTGCATCGTAGATTAGTTATGCATTTAGAAAGTGGAATCAGTATCAATGTTTTTTCGTTAAACCTATCGGAACCTAGTATATTTGATGGATCTAAGATTATATTCATATGCAAACTATACAGTGTACGAATACAAATTTGAGTTTTTTCATCTTTGCCTTGTCTCTGACCTTGAGGTAACTAAACAAAAGGATTTTGCTTACTGCAGAACTGATATCCAGTGTTCATTTTCTGTGGCAAATTGTGAATATGAAACTATAAAAAGGTTGTTTGTCTATTGCAATGATTTTGCCTTTGGACCTATGTGTTTATATTTGATGCAACTTTCTTTTCTTTTATTTACATAGACGATGCTAATCTATATGTGTTGCCTATCAGCATGATACAAAATACTATTACAAGATCGAAAGTGGTGAATCTTCTCGTGAGTTTTGGTTTGTTACACCACCAGAGGTACATCCAGATGCTTCCTACAAGTTTGGTATTATAGGTATGTCATGTCTTTTTCTTGTAAAGAGTTACGTATCTTCCCTGTGTTAATATTTTGATCTAAATCCATCTGCCCTTGTTCCAAGACTTCGTTCTTTAGGATTCACTGCAGAGATAATTTGAAATATTGTTTCGATGAGAGTTTCTTGCCTTGTTTCTCCATTTCTGAAAAGCCAAACTCAGTTTCACTTACGAATTATTGTAGGCGATATGGGCCAAACATTCAACTCGTTATCCACACTGGAACACTACATGCAGAGTGGAGCTCAAGCTGTCTTATTTCTAGGAGATCTCTCTTATGCTGACAGATATGAGTATAATGACGTTGGTGTGAGATGGGATAGCTGGGGTCGTTTTGTGGAGCCTAGTACCGCTTATCAACCGTGGCTCTGGTCTGCAGGAAATCACGAAGTAGATTACATGCCATACATGGTAAATATCTGAGTCATCCTGTACTGTCTTACTAACCTACCCAGGTAACATATAGGTTATTCTTAAATTTCGAGTCCCATGGAACCAACAAAGTGGAGTTGTTCTTGTTCCAATGCTACATTTCTTCCATTTTAACAGTTCTCAGACATAGATCAATTGTTACAGGTTCTTAAGAAAGTACCCTGAAGCTTAAAGAGTGAAATGAATTGGTTACATGAACTTTGATATGAGTAAACATATAGGAGAATGAAACTTTCATTGTAGCTACTAGTTTAACTTCTCACTAGTCAGATTGTGTGCTTGACTTCTGTTTTTGTTCCTCCTTAGAGTTCTCAAGCATGTAAAACATTTACAGGGGGAAGTGACACCTTTCAGGAATTACCTTCAGCGTTACACTACGCCTTACTTAGCCTCAAAAAGTAGCAGTCCTCTTTGGTACGCTGTTAGGCGTGCATCCGCTCATATCATTGTCCTCTCCAGCTATTCGCCTTTTGGTAATACCTCCATTGCTCAACGATACCCTCTGCCTCTAACTTTTTCTTCTTTTACTTATAAATAACACCAATGAGTAAATTTCTGTTGTAAATCTTCTTAAGCATGACTCTTTCCGAGTGTTGTGCAGTGAAATATACCCCACAATGGCACTGGCTTAGTGAAGAGCTTAAAAGAGTTGACAGGGAAAAAACTCCTTGGCTAATTGTTCTGATGCACGTCCCAATATACAACAGTAATGAAGCACACTTCATGGAGGGTGAAAGCATGCGAGCAGTTTTTGAGGAGTGGTTTGTCAAACACAAAGTGGATGTAATCTTTGCTGGCCATGTTCATGCCTACGAGAGATCGGTACTTGCTTATTACCAGAAACCCCCTACAGATTTTACATGCTTCATTCTCTTTAGTGAAATCTTTGATTTTTTCATCTCAGTACCGAATATCAAATGTGCGGTATAATGTGTCAAGCGGAGATCGTTTCCCAGTTCCAGATAAGTCAGCTCCTGTTTATATCACAGTTGGAGACGGAGGAAATCAAGAAGGTCTGGCTGGAAGGTGAGTGACATGAACAAATCCAACGAAATTGCTTGAACAGAAAATGAGTGTGCCTTGAAATTTGATAAGAACGAAACTATGAAACTGCTACTCTTATCCTAATTGGCTAAAACCTGAGAGACTTGAGTAATGAGAGACTCTCTTGACCAAATGTCCAACCAGACCCGAAATCTATCTGCTGAGAGATCCTTATAAACCCAGACCTCGCTAAAATGATCCCTAACCAACTCACAACAACTAGTCTGCTACATTCTGTCCTAGGCTAGTAAGAGTATATATAGCCAATAGTTGAGCTGCTGAACATCTTCAGAGCTGATTAAAATTATAATAACTGCTTTCATATCCATGGTTATCTTTAGTAGTTATACTCTTGGGTGATGAGAACATGTGCCTTTTTCTTGTTTCAGGTTTAGGGAACCACAGCCAGATTATTCTGCATTTCGAGAAGCTAGCTACGGCCACTCTACTCTGGATATAAAGAACCGAACACATGCGATATACCACTGGAACCGCAATGATGATGGGAAGAAAGTAGCAACAGATGAATTTGTGTTACACAACCAGTACTGGTAAGTTTTATAATTCTCACTTTAGTAACTGCATAGATGGAGAACTAAGTGAATACAATGCGCAGGGGAAAGAACATTCGACGGAGAAAGCTTAAGAAGCATTATATCAAGAGTGTTGTGGCTGGTGGCTGGATTGCCACTTGATTCACTAAGTCTGCCTCATGCTTTCTATTAAAGTGTGTGAGGATATTCTTTAACTCAAAACTTATTACTTATATGCTTATTATTTGATGTTAAATTTCTTTCCCGCTTAAGTTTTCTGCCATCTGAAATATGATGGAATTATGTATTCTTATCAGTCTTTTAATGATGTGAGGTCTACTTCTGAGATTTTGGATTTTGTGAATAATGTATTCCTTATAACGGTGTTAAGGAAATCTTTCACATGGGTTGAATTGAAAAAGTCCATCAAATGAACGTCCACAATATGTTTTACATGGAGGATTTGTCCGAAGAAATATAATAAAACTCTTTCCAAGGTTTCAAGCATCTGATCCAGCTAAAGTGTGTCAGCTTAGCTAACATCGACTCTTGTATGGTTTTGGTTTGTTCAATCGTATTAGCTGTTCACTTTAGTACGGGATAGGGTGTACACGACTTGGTGATTTATGGAAACAATTTGGTTAGTTCAAGAGATTCAAACAAAGGTTATTTAAGCAGTTGCTTTCATATCAGAGACTTAGGGAAGATAAACTACCACTTCATAGGAATTGAGGTTTAAAGGATTTTTTTCTTTCTCAAACACAAGTACAGGCTTGACATCGTGGTTGATGTTAGGCTTCCGGTAGATAAGAGGCTTTGTTGAATACGGATTGAACAAAATTATTATCTCCTCTCCGATACTAGCTTTATGTACACCGATCCAGAACACGAGAATGATTAGCAAACGACTGTCTCGCATTCTTCGGCAGAGCCTGAGTATTAGGTTATGACGTTTACTACGTGTGAGGTTAAATGGTTATAGAGACTCTTTCTGGATCTTTGAGCTCTTTAAGATATGCCCATGCAGCTTCAATTGGACATCCAAAGCTGCAATGTATGCTAAAGTTAAATTCCTTGTTTCATGAAAGGACATTGAATATGATTTGTCATATAGTTGAGTTACTTGGTTTTGAGTTTTTGTTAAAACAAAATTATGTACAAATGTCACAACTAGAGCAGAGAGAGTAATGAGGAGTATTCATGTAACCTCATCTTTTCCTTAACTCTTATTATTTTATTCATTTTGTACAAAAAACAGATGCTAGCTACAGGACTGTTATTGAGGTTTGGCACAAAAACTGATTCAGAGGGATGAAGGAAATTTGGCCGCAGCCAAATGATTGTTAGAAAGACCAGAAAATGGTATTGTATCCAAAGTAATACTTAACCACAAAGCAGAACACTTTCTGAGTTTATTAATTTATACATACACTAACAAAGAGGTAGAGAGAGCATACTGACTGGATGTTCTTGTGGTTCCAACAAAATCTATGAAGAACAGTGCAAACCTCTGTACAAATGTAGTGAGCAGAAGTAGGCTGTCGATGATCAGTCATCCTTACAAGTAGCCTTGTTATGTCCTACTCCTCCACACTTTGTACAACACACAGATCGTCCTCTTTTCCGGTCTTTGATTCTCTTCTCTACTCCCTGAACTCGGGAAAACAGAGGGGGAAGTACTTGTTCATCCTCTTCCTTGCTGCTGCCTTCATTCTCCACCAAAGCTAAGTCACTCGCAACTGCTCCTAGAGCTACTGAATACGTTAAACGGTAACTATCAACTGTAAAGAAACTTGAACAATAGTCATACAGATTTCTTCCTTTTGTGTTTAGGACAGCAATCGCATGCTGACAAGGGAGGCCTGTGGGCTTCCACCCGTAACAGCTGCAGGTTTGGTTACTCATGTCCACAAGCTGAACAGACCCATCATGAACCTCAAAAAGCGTGTCTGAGCAAAAGAAAACTTTTAGCGTGCTTGCTTTCTTGCATTCTTCCGCTAGACTTTCCTCCTTCGATGGCACAAGTTGGCTGAACCACGGTTTTGACTTCTCCTGGCTACTGTTTACCAACTCCACAATTTTATTCACAAATGCCACAAGTTTCTGGACGATGGAAGTTTCCTGACTTTCTTCAATCCACTTCGAGTAGATCTCTGCCACATCTGACGTAATATGGCTGTATGGTTCACCTTCAAATAAGGCACATGCCCAGTGCTTTGATTCAATCTGCATTACCCAATCATAAGCTCTAGGAGACACTCGTCTTATTTGCTCGGTGTAAACCTTAAACCCATCAAGTCGATCAGCACGTGCTGCAGCCAGTAAATAGTATGTTAACGATGGTTTCCCATCTCCAAGAAACGGACCTCTAAGGCTTCTCATAAAATCCTCCATCAAGTAATGTATAGAATAACCATGATGGGCATTCTCGAAAATCTCCAACACAGAAGTCTCTAGTCCTTTCTCTCGGTCGGAGACAAAGGTAAGGGCCTGTAAACTGGGCAAAGCTACCTTTAATTGCTCCAGAAACCAACGCCAAGTTTCATCAGTTTCCACATCCACAAGGGCTAATGCCACTGGAAACACGCCATCATCTCCATCCAAGGCAGAAGCTGTTAACAAAATCTCATGATACCTAGACTTAAATGGAATGGCATCAAGGAAAAGAAGCGGCCGGCAACCAGTTTGAAAGCCATGTAGACAAGATTGGAAAGATAGAAAAAGCCGCTGAAATCTTCTGTCCTCACCAACCACCAAATTAACCATACTTCCAGGGTTTGCCTCAACTACCTTATTCACAAAATGAGGCAAATGCTTATATGCCTCTTTGAATGATGTATGAAGTCCTCCTTTAGCTTCATCAATGCCTCGTCTGATAGTGCAATAACTGAGCTCAATACCAAAATCCTGAAAAATCGAGTCAGCTATGTTCTTAGTCTTCTGATTTGGGTTCTCCTGCAACCTCTCCTTGATGATACCCACTACCCAGTTCTTTTTGGGATGAGCAGATTTCCAAGATTCTCCCCCGCACGTATGCCTTCTATTAAATTTTTTGATCCTGAACACACTTTCAGATGGTACCCATGATGCATAAATCTTCCAAGGACAACCTCCAACTAAACAAACACCACATGCACGATTTGATTCATTCTTCCTTAATCTGTACCCAAAACGACAAGCAACTGCATATTTCTGCAGCGCATCACGAAATTCAACGACACTTTCAAATCCCTGACCCACACCAGTAATGCATCGTTTCCATGAGGCTACCAAGCTCTCTACAGAACCATCGTTAGCTTCAGAGATAGAATAATTTATCTCACGTTCGTAGTCAAGATCCTCAATTTCAGGGTAATAGGTCTCTATATCCTGCACATAGTCCTTGTCATCATCCACATCATCATCATCAACATTTTCAGCATCAACAGTCGTCAGTATCATCTTCGTCACTACCATCATCGTCAGCATCAACGTCGTCATCATCAGTTTCTATTACAGGCTTTCGAATTTCTCCCCTATTTCGTAAGGATCTTCTCCTTGTATCCGTGACATTTTCATCCTGGAGTAAAATGCTGGGTTCTTCCATCACACGTCTTCGTTTACTAACAGTTCTAGGGGAACTGGTAGTCACACCACACACAACACTAAGAGACATTGGAGGGGAGCTTTTGATACCAGGATTACTACCTATGAATGATTGTTTCGAACTTTTGGGAGTCAGGTTGGAGATATTAGAAACAAGACTCTTCTTCCCTTTTGTCTTGATTTTTTTTGAGGTTGATTTGGCTGGTCCCACTGGATTGGTGGATACTGTTACGGGAATGTCAACAAGGCCACTGGTATCAGAGGTAATTCTGGGGGCAACCTTTCTAGATCTCATATTAATATCAGCGAGGTTGTTTTCTTCAGGAGTTCCTGTGATAACTTGGATGGGTACATTGGCTACATTCCCATATGCCACATGGTGTCGTCTCTGTTCCAACTGCTATATTATAAGACCTGCAATTAAAAACAGAAATAGATTATGCAACGATGATCACAAGCCCAGTAGAACTAGATATTGCTACAGACATTAAGATCTTTATTTCTGTAGAGCAGAATATCTGATTCTCCTCCATTTTGGAACAAAAGCGATAAACACCAAAAACTAAATTAGCCCAAAGTTTATGTATCATCGACTGCCTTTTTAACAGAGCACCAAGATAAACACCAAAAACTAAATTAGCCCAAAGTTTATGTGTCATTGTAATAAACATTTTGGTATTTCGTAGACATCTAGACACTGAAAATGTTCTCTTGTTAATGGCATATACCAATTTCGAAGTAAATGAATGGTTTGATGTAAAAAACAGTTGAATAACGTTTGTTATGCGAAAAAACAATTTCTCAAGCATTTCAGAGAAGTGAGCAAACAGGCGGTCGTTAAATTTCACTCAGCTCCCAAACCAAACAGATAATACATTATCAGTTATCACATAACAAACGTTATCTCTTAGAACTGATATATCATTAGGTGCCTACTACATGCTCTGGAAGATTTAGATTAAACTAAACGAGAAAGCTGCGAAATCGATATAAAGAGAACGATTTCCTGCATGAAACATGGCTAAATAAGAGGGTATACCTGGTACCAGGTGACACAACTGCTTCAGACTGGAAGCCATATTGTCCTGTAATAAAAACTTCTGCTGTGACTGAACTCAGATGGAAATCATACATCCTTTTCATGTCCTTCTCTTGTTTCATTGTGATAAGAGTTCTTCTATTTCCGGGAAGAAAATACTTGAGGGACAAAGAAGTATACTCCAAGTTCAAGAGTTTTGCCAGTTTTAGCTTAAAATCATCAAACGTGGTTTCATGATTAATATCTATCGCTTCTGCTTCTCCCCCAGTATATGTCATTGTCCCATCATCATCAGTCACAAATTTGCCACCAGATTGACAAATCAATATAAGCTTACCTTTTCCCATACCCACAGAAGTCTGTCGTACTCAAAACAGAAGAAAAAATGTTACATCAGATACACAAGCAAACTGTAATATCTTCACTCATACAAGAATGTAAATAGATTAGCACACTCTACATTAAACCAAATTAATACGTTGTTTGACCCAAAAAAAAAAGTCATCAAAATCTCAGCTTTTTAGTTAGAGGAGAGAAAGTTAAATGTTTTAATCACAAAGAGACATTTACTAAAGAGTTAAAGTTCCAGTCTTTGAATTGAGTTGCATCATCCACAAAGGATAAAACTTTGATAGAACTAAAGAGCAAAAGAACACAAAGATAACAGTTGAATCACACAAAATTCAGCTAAGCAAGCAATCAATAAACACACCCAAAAAAAACCCTAAATTTCTGTTTAACAAACGACGGAGATATTGGAATTGGTGAATCAAAAGAAAAAAGCATTGCCCTGTTACGATATTCGAGTTGAGGGAGAGAAGAGTTTTACCAAATCACAAAAGCGGATCTTGAAGATGAAGAAATTGGCAAGGCTTAGGGTTAGGAGAGCGACAAGTTGAGAATTGTGGGGAAGAAACGAGAGAATGAAACGAATTAGGGTTGGGTCTGTTGTGTAATAAAGTAAAGAAAAAGTCCACTTTATCCAACAAAATCTTTTCTAGGGGTTGCTTTCAAAATCCATGGATCGTATTTGTGCAATTCTTAAATACTACAGTATATTTTAAATAAAAAAATATTTTTATTTAAAGAGAAAGATGGTTTATTGATTTTTATACTAAAATTAACATTATGATATCTAAATATATTATAAAATTTATAGCTTAATCTTTATCATATCTACTATACATTTTTGCAACAGTTTTTGGGGTACCCCAATCGGGTCAAAATTTTGACCCGGAAATCATTTAATTTGACCCGATTTGGAGACAATCGGATCTTACCTTCTTTGTGATTTTCTACCCGAAATTTGATCACCAAATCATTCCATTTTCGCTGCTTCCTACATTGAAGGCTTTACTGATTCAGTTTCTCAATTAAATCTCACTTAGAGATACACAAAATATTTGCAGTTATAACAATAACTGAGCTGCGATATGTAAAAATATCTCTTCTTCCCTATTTAAACGCAAGAGTAATTATTCCATTAATCATTTCTTTCTATCAACTAAAGCAATCATATCAAACTGATATTATCGACTTGGAAATTAGTTAATACCTATAAGATTCTCTCCATATTCTCTTAACAATCAACCTAGCATATTCTCTGTTATTCCAGTCATTAAGGAGGGGTTATTGGTTCGTGGATTTATAAGGAATTAGAAATCCAAACAAAAATCATTTGTTATTCAATCATTGATTTTAAAATCCTAATTAAAATCATGTGTTATTGGTTCTATGAATTATAAATACTAGTTGAAATCCTTTGTTATTCGTTTAATCATTTGTTTTTAGATTTGATAATCCAAATTATGTTTTAAATGGATTTGAATGGAATTGAAAGAGAAAAATAGAAGGATTCAAATCCATGGGTAAACACATGTTATTTCAAAATCCATATATCTTGATTTCATAATTAATAGAAATTTTCAAATTCTTTATGGATTTACAAATTAATAAACCAATAACACCCCCTAAGATAACGCAATATATTCAATCCTTGACCAACAAGATTTTCTAATATTCACCTAAACCTAATGGAACCTACTAATTCAAATTCTATAAATAGCCGCTCATTTCCATCGTCTCTATTCACACACTCTCTCATTTCCCAAAAGCAATATATCATATAAAATTCTCTGCCTTTACCTGCAACAATGGCCTCCCAGTTTGCTATGTTGAGAGATGTCAGACCATACAAGACATCTTGGCGTGTGCAGGTTAAGGTTCTCCATTCTTGGCGTCAGTATACCAACAACACAGGTGAAACCCTTGAGTTGGTTCTCGCTGATTCACAGGTAAAACAACAATATATCAGAGAGCCTCATTTTTGCATCTATTCATTAGTGTGTTTTAGTACCTAACTCCAAATCTACTTCATTACTAAAACAGGGTGTCAAGATTCATGCTTCTGTTAAGAAGGATTTGGTTGCTAAATATGTTAACAGCCTACAAGTGAATGAGTGGAAGTTCATTGAACATTTTGCACTTACTCATGCAGCAGGGCAATTCAGACCAACTGGTCATCTATACAAGATGTCCTTTGTCATTGGTACTACTGTGACACGGTCTGACATTGTCTCTGATTCAAGCTACTTATCACTGGCAAGGTTTAGCAGAATACAGAATGGGGATTTAAATCCTTACATGTTGATTGGTATGTGCTTTCTAATTATAAAATATACATTCTGATATCTTCAATGAATTCAGTTTATTTTTGTTGTTACTTAATGTACTGTCCTGAACCAAATATAGATGTTATGGGTCAAGTGGTGAATATTGGTGAGCTAGAGGTCCTGGAAGCTAATAACAAGCCAACCACTAAGCTTGACTTTGAGTTGCGTGATGAACAGTGAGTGATCTGATATGGTTGTTTTATTATTACATAGACTGAGAATTTATAGAATTAGATTTGATATGCTCTAATGTTTTCTACTGCAGTGATGATAGAATGTCATGCACACTCTGGGGGACATTTGCTGAAAAAATGTTTCAAGCATGCCAAGCAGCTGATGGAATCATGGTGATTTGTGTTATCAGATTTGCAAAGATTAAGGCATACAAAGGTAAATTACTATTTCTATCTAAGGTTTTGTAATGAATAAAGTTTTATTTGACAATTGTTCCTGTTTCCTTTCTAGGTGTTAGGAGTCTCTCTAATTCCTTTGATGCCTCACAAGTTCACATCAATCCACCTTTCCCTGAGATTGAAGCTTTCACCAGAGCGTATAAGTTTATTTTTCAAACTACTCTAAACTTATAGTTTTATTATAACTGACTGAAAATGACATTCTTTGTTTTTCTATTAACAGTCTCCCCTCTGATGGTCTAGCCTTAACTTTCCGTGAAAGTGTTCCTAAGTTCCAGATGGTTACAGTGAATAAGGATGATGATTGTCTTCAGTTTGAAAGAAAGACAATATCAGATCTTTTTAACTCAACAGAGGTTTGTATTTGTTTGAGTTATTCATATAGCATTGTCATCTACTTTAGTGTGGGAAATCTGATTAATTACCTATACCCTGTAGATTGGAAAGGCTAGAGTTATCTGCACAATCTATGGAATTGATACAGATTGGGCTTGGTATTACTTTAGTTGCCGTAACTGTAATAAAAAGGTCACTCACATTCATTCTGGAGTGAATACTGCTTCCATGAAGAAACAAAAACCAAAGTTTTGGTGTGACGTCTGCAGGACTGCTGTCACTAATGTTGTAGCAAAGTTAGATTTTTTTGCTTAATCTAATTCTAATGCATATTTATAAGTTTGTGTTTTTTTCTTTGAAATAATCACTAATATGACTGCTCTTATTGAAGGTACATGCTATATGCTAAGGTGATGGAGGTGATGGATAACACTGGTGAAACAAAATGTCTTTTGTTTGACAGTATATGCTCAGAAATTGTTGGTGAATCTGCTGCATCATTGCTAGGTGGATCATTCAATGAGGTAACATTCTATTATGTGAATTATATATGTAATTGATATATATGAAACATTCAACTGATAAGTACTAATTTTCTTATGTAGATTGAGGACCCTACTGATTTGCCTGACGTGATAAGGAATTTGGTTGGCAAGACCTTTCTCTTTCTGCTATGTGTTGAGAAAGAAAACATTTGGGATGGTAAGGATTCTTACAAGGTTTCAAGGATCCTAAACAAAGATGGACTCTTGCAAGAAGATGTCATTGAGGAATCTGAACAATTGGTTAATCCTGCCTCAATTGTTTCTGGAGATCAGGTAACATTTTCTAACTATCTAATTGCCTTAAAATTATACTAAATATCTCTCCTACTGATAATATCTATTTTCAGTGTCTCATGTTAACAATGAGTCAAGACACGTCTGACTCATCTACTCCATCTTCTAAGCGTGTTTATGCTCCTAATCTCTCTGAGTCAGAGCAATCCTCAAGTTCTAAGAAGGTGTGCATTGAACCTAAAGACTTGCAGAAGTCAGAACTTGAATTTGGAGAGAATGGTCTGTCTGAAAATGGAGTTTCTGACAAGATCTCTGAAGTTGTGAAGGTAGAGAATGTCAAGATTGAAAGCAACAAAGGCAAGGGTGTTCAAGACAATGGTGATCTTCCTGTGACTGAGAAGAAGGATACCAAGCAGGTGGCTAAAGCAGTTGGAGTGAAGATCAAACAAGAGAAAAAGTGATCTAGCACCAGTTTGCTAAGCAATAAGGAGTTATCATAATTCCAAGTTTTTTTAAATTTCATTGTTAGACATTTCTAAGGTTTTTGTTTTGTTTTTTAATTTATTGGGTTATTTGGTTACATTTATTCTATATGCAACTTTCCTACTTCGTTATTCTGGTATTATCATTGAACTTCACATAGAAAATAAAACATTTACTATAATAATTACAACTAAACCCTATAGATATCGATATCACTTTTCTTAAGTAACCTACATATATGATTAAGAAAAGAAGTCTTGAAAAGTGTAATATGGTAATGTCAGTATAAAACAATCATTGCTAACATATATTCATTATTCTATAGGACCCCCAACGTTTCATTTTCCCTTCAATATTATATCCACTATACATATTTGATACGTTGCTAATTATATGCAATATCTATTTTCCTTTTTTTTTTTTGCATTATTAAATCTAAAACCAACCTCTCTAACCCTTCTATAAATACCAAGACATAACCTTTAGGTTTTCTACAGAAACTACTTAGATCCTCCAACCTAAAATCGCTTTTCTGTTAAGTTTTCTTTCAATCCTATGGGTACTATTGATTACATTTCTGATCTGAACCTCCAAAGGCCTAGATGGACTTTGTACGTGAAGATTCTGTCCATCTGGAATCAAGGTATTGATGCTTTTGAAGAACCCACAATCATGATACTCGCAGATGAAAGGGTTAGTAAAAGCCATTTGCTCTTTCCTCTGTTTGATTATTGAAATATATATATATATCTGCGAGTGACAAGTACTCATTTCTTTCTTCTTTTGTTCCTAGGCTAATATGATTGATGCATATGTCCCTCCTGGAAATTACTTATACAATTTCCGGTCAGGTCTGAAGGAGGGTCAGTGGTACTACATGGCTGACTTCCATGTTGTACCTTCTACTAGACCTGTTAAGTACTCCTTCAATCGTTTTGCACTTGAGTGTATATGGCCTACCACTATGTGGCCTGTTGGTCCTAGATCTAATGGTAATTTCTTCAACTTCATACATTCTGATGAAGTTGAGTATGCTGGCTCTGAGGATAAGGACCATGTTTCAGGTTATGACGTTTACAGAATTCAGTTTTAAAAATTACTGTAAACTTCTTTAAGTGATTAATTCACTAACTATCATTTTTTCTTTTGGCAGATGCTATTGGTGTAATCTGTGATGTCTCTGCAATTCAAAGGTTCCCATTTGTTTGTCGTGAAGGACAGACAGACTATGACTTCAGATATGTTGTTTTCAAAATCAAGGATGATGTGTAAGTAAAACCTGACTTCTATATAAGAATTAGGTTTTTAACTCATACTCATAACTTGAAAACATTGTAAATTTGATCATGTAGGGGTAGGTTTACAACCTGTGTTGCTGTGGGTAGGAACTGTCAGTCCTTTGTGACTAAATGGTATAGGAAAATAACTTCCAAGACATACAAATATGATCCTGTTGTCATTGTCCTGCGTTTTTGGAGGGTTTCAGAGTATGAAGGTGAGTTTCATCTCCTGGAACTATACAATTTTGTGACTCGGCTTAGAGAATGTATATTTACCTACTGTGTATGATCTACATTCTTATTTAGGTGCAAACTGTTTGATGAGTGAGTATGGTTGCTCAAGGCTTTTTCTGGATCCATTTTTTCCAGATTTTGACATTCCCAGATACATGTAAGTACTAAGCTCTCCTTAAACAAATCTGATATCAAATTACCAGAAAACAGAATTCAAAGTTTAAGTTTGTTATATATCGTGCAGCCAAAACTTTCAAGAAGCAGAAGATGATGTCCAGGATATGGGAATGGAGTTTGAACGTGTGAACTAAAGCACAATGTCTTTGAATAATGTTTTGCGGTGTCTCAGTTATAAGGAACCTACTTTTGATTTTATCTATGGTTTAAAGACTTTAAACTGATTGTTTCTGTTATGTCTATTTTGGTTTTATTGTTGCTGGTGTAAGGAAGAACTTATGTGACTTAATTTATGGTTATCTTTGTAGCTTCTATATTCTATTTTAGTCGCATTTATTCAAATTATATTAGTTGATCATTTGTTTTGTTAACAAGATTTCACAGATCTTCTTGACTAATCAAGTTGTTAAAATTACCTTTTAGTATATACCATCCTTCCTTAGTTGCTAATGTTTGTGAATATAAGGAATATCCAATTGCTCTGTTTCCTGATACAATTAATAAATAACAAATCTGGTCAGTAACTTATCATTGCGTATATTACGGCTCTTAAATTTTCATGAAATCAATTGTTTGCATAAAGTATATTGCCAAAATGATTCGCTATTTTCTCTTTTCTATATAACAGAAATTGTTAAGTAGATATTCCTATATTTTGGCAACAGACAATCAATTATTATTAAGTGGAGGATCAATTTCACTAGGATAACATTATGTTTATATATAAACAGCAGTCACCTTCATATACTAAGATTTCATCTTATCGGCTATATTCTTTGCTTCAGTAATAAGATGAAGAACAAACCTCTACCTACAACAGAGAATAATGATCCATCTCCTAATCCACCTAAACGTAATCGTTTAGGTGAGCCTTACACTAGACTCAGGAACATTTCTCAGTATAATCTACCTATAGTGAGGAATGGTTCTGTCCCTCTTAGTACAGCTTTTGGTAGTGCTTTTAGAGATATTACTAACCTTCCAGAACCACAAGTCAGCCCCATTGAGAACTCTGCAGATCCTAATACATCTTCATCTACAAAACAGAACAGTCAGAATCAAGGTTAATTCTATAAACCAGTTTTCATTTACAATTCTTTTGTTTTCATTCTGATCAAAGATAAATAGAAAATACCTGGTCTCTAAAAGCCTGTCTTCCTTTTAAAACAGGTTCAATTCGTGGAAAAATGTCCAAGCCTTGCTCTCCTTACACCAGACCTAACCCATTGTTAACTCCATCTGGATTAAGCGCCATGACTAATACAAGCCAGAGTCTTTTTAGCAGAACACCTACAACTCCAATAATGCCTCCACCTTCTGTAACACCAAAGAGAAAAGGTGGTTTGATAAATTAAGTTCCACATATGAATAATTTTTGCAGTTATGGTATGATAATGTTTTATATAGAGAAGTATATTGTATAAGTAATCAGTTTAATATCTGTTGTAGGGATTCAATACACTGTAAACCCATCATGTATAACCAACCACCAGACATCAAGCGCTGTTTCTCAAAGAATAAATTTGCCAAGGAAAAACTTAGATATTGATTTTACAAACGCAGAAACCTCTTCTTCATCTAAAGGTAACACTCTTTATTGAAATCTTTTTTGCTTGGAAACAAAATGTAATTAAGAGGCATGTCTTAACCTATACTCCTGTTTTGTATTCTCAAGGTTATCTTACAACTGAAGTAATAGATAATGAAGATAGTGATTATAGCCAAGATGATGAAATGTATGATGATCCTGAGTTTGGTAATGTCAGTGAAGATGAGACACTAGCTCAAAGCTATGATCTTAGTTGCAGTGAAGGTGAAGATGAAGTAGTAGATAACAATGAAATGTCAGTTTCTGATGAGGAACAGATTGAAATGTTGTCAAACATAACTGAAGTCTCATCTCATACTAATGATTTGGCAACATCATCTATTGAGTCTGTTCAGGAAGAAACACATGAAGGAAAAGCTCCTCCGAAAAGAAAAAAGAAAAGAAAATCAAAAAAGAAAAACAAACCAATAAGTAAATTTTCTGCCCTTTCCAGTACTTTTTTTATTTTTGGTAATTCTGAATAAGAAACTTATTTGATTTTGACGCAATGTTTTCTCAGCTTATCTTGATCATGGTGACCCTACTTACTCATGTAAGTATTGTGGTGCATTGATGTGGCATGCTGAAAGAATAAACAAAAGACTTAAAACGACAGATCCTACATTTACACCATGTTGTGGTCAAGGTTCTGTTAAGCTGCCTTTTCTTAAAGAGTCACCAGAATTGATCAAGAAACTTCTGACTGGGAAAGATCCTCAAAGTAGGAATTACAGAAAGCACTTGAGAATATGGAATATGGTTTTTGCAATGACCTCACTAGGTGGGAAAGTAGATAAGTCTATACCTAAGGGTAAAGGTCCAAGCATGTTTCGTTTACAAGGAGGTAACTATCATTTGATAGGCAGTTTAAAACCTGCAGAAGGTGATTATGCGAAGTATTCACAACTCTATATAGTAGATACTGAGAATGAAGTAGATAACAGAGCAACTGTTATTGGGTTAGTATTATTTCTACTTAACAGGCTTATTCAATTCTTATGTATTTCTATGTTGTGGTATACTCAATCATGGGCATCTTTTTTTTTTTTTATTGTAGCAAGGGGAAAGAATCATCTAGAAGAGGAAGCAAGGATATACTGAACAAAGAGACAATTGAAGCCATTATGAAAATGCTCAATGAAGTTAATCCTTATGTCAAGAATTTTAGAATTGCCAAGGAAAGATTTGAGTCAGTTAATCCCCAACCATTTCATATGAGGATATGCTCTGGTCGTAAAGGTGCTGATGGAAGGACTTACAGCATGCCTACTACTTCAGAGGTTGCAGCGTTAATCCCAGGAGACTTTACAGAAGGTATGACAAACCGTGATATAGTTCTTCAAGAAAGGACTACAGGCCACCTAACCAGGATTAGCCAGATTCATATCTCTTATCTGGCTCTTCAGTATCCTCTGATTTTCTGCTATGGTGAAGATGGTTACACCCCAGGTATAGAGAAATGTTATAAGGGTAATAACCAGAAGAAGAAGAAGTGTATTAGTATGCGTCAGTGGTTTGCATTCCGTATTCAGGAGAGGCCAGGTGAGTGCCATACTCTTCTACTGTCGAAGAGGTTGTTTCAGCAGTTTCTTTGTGACGCTTACACCACTATTGAATCAAATCGTCTATCCTACATAAGGTTCAATCAGTCTAAGCTTAGATGTGAGAATGCAAACTCACTAAAAGAAGCTGCTGACTCTGGTGTAACAAATATGGAAGAAGAAGGAAATCAGATTTTGATTTCAGCATCTTTTACTGGTGGTCCTAGGTATATGGTTCAGAGTTATTATGATGCTATGGCCATATGTAAACATTATGGTTTCCCGGATTTATTCATCACGTTTACATGTAACCCTAAGTGGCCTGAGATAACAAGATATGTCACAGCAAGAGGGTTAACTGCTGAGGATAGGCCAGACATTGTTGCTAGGATATTCAAAATCAAGTTGGATTCTCTGATGAACGATCTAACAGAAAAGAAGATGCTTGGAAAGACTGTCGCATGTAAGTTGTCTGACTTCTTCCAATTCCGTGACAATAAACTGAGACTATTTCAATATTTTCACACTATATTATATGTTATGCAGCTATGTATACTGTAGAATTCTAGAAAAGAGGCCTTCCACATGCCCACATTCTTTTATTCATGGATGCTAAAAGCAAACTTCCAACAGCAGCCGATATTGACAGGATGATATCTGCTGAGATTCCAGATAAAGAAACAGAACCAGAGCTTTATAAGGTTGTTAGTAATTCAATGATTCATGGCCCATGTGGTGCAGCAAATATGAGTTCTCCATGTATGGTGGATGGCCAGTGTTCTAAATCGTATCCTAAAAAATATGAGGATATCACCAGGGTAGGCGCTGATGGTTTTCCTATCTATAGAAGAAGGCGCTCTGACCACTATGTTGAGAAATGTGGAATTAAATGTGATAATAGGTATGTCGTTCCATACAATAAAAAGCTATCAGTTAGGTATGGTGCTCACATTAACGTTGAATGGTGTAATCAAACTGGGTCTATTAAATACTTATTCAAGTATATACATAAAGGCCCAGATAAGTTAGCATTTGTTGTGGAGCCTGTCAAGCCACCACCAACAGATAATGGCTCACACGTAGATCAAACAGCTAATGGATCAGAACCATTACCAGAGGAGAAAAAGAAGAATGAAATAAAAGATTATTTTGATTGCAGGTATTGTATCTTAATTTTGCTCTTTCTCAGTTTATTTCTGTGATTGGTCAGTCTGGATCCTGAAATGGCTTTGTTTATTATTCAAAATTGTAGATATGTGTCAGCATCTGAAGCAATTTGGAGGATTTTTAAGTTTCCGATACAGCATAAATCAACACCTGTTCTGAAGCTATCTTTTCATGTAGAAGGGAAGCAACCAGCTTATTTTAAAGGAAAAGAGGTGATATCAGATGTTTTGGACAGAATTCTCAATCGAGATTCTCAATTCATGGCATGGCTAACATTGAATAGGAATGATGGAATTGGAAAATATGGAAAGCGTGCTCGAGAGCTCCTATATGCAGAGATCCCTGCATATTTTACATGGGATGGAACTAATAAGCTGTGGAATAAGAGGTCTAGAGGATGGTCTTTAGGTCGGATTAATTATGTTCCCAGGAAGCTAGAAGATGAATATTTTCTACGAGTCCTACTTAACATCGTCAGAGGTCCTACATGTTTTGATGACATTAAAACATATAATGGTGTGGTCTATCCAACTTACAAAGAAGCATGTTTTGCACGCGGAATTCTAGATGATGACCAGGTGTTCATTGACAGTCTGGTTGATGCGAGTCAATTCTGTTTTGGTGATTTTTTGAGGAATTTCTTCGCTATGTTGCTACTATCTGATTCCCTATCTAGGCCAGAATATGTTTGGGAACAGACGTGGCATTTGTTAGCAGAAGATATTCAACAGAAGAAGAGAGATGAGTATGACAATCAAGGTGTACTTAATAATGAAATTATATCACTGTTATATCATATCCATTTTCTCAGTTAAATAAGCGATGATTCTATTTTTTTCTTGACATTGCCTTTTAACTTATATGCAGATTTGAATCTGACAGAGGCAGAAATTAGGAACTACACTCTTCAAGAACTAGAAAAAATGATGTTGTCTAATGGAGGTACTCTTGAAGATATACTAAACTTTCCTAAGCCAACTAGAGAAGGTATAGATAATTCCAACCGTTTGATTGTTGATGAAATGAGGTATGACCGTATATCATTAGCTGAAAAGCATGCTGAGTGGATAGATATGATGACACCAGAGCAGAGAGGTGTTTATGATGAGATTACCACTGCAGTATTCAATGATCTAGGTGGAGTGTTTTTTGTGTATGGATTTGGAGGTACAGGAAAAACTTTTATTTGGAAAACACTTTCAGCTGCTATTAGATCTAAAGGAGATATAGTTCTAAACGTGGCTTCCAGTGGTATCGCTTCATTGTTGTTGGAAGGTGGAAGGACTGCTCATTCAAGGTTTGCCATACCTCTTACACCTGATAGCAGTTCAGTGTGCAGGATAAAGCCGAAGTCTGATCTTGCTGATCTGATAAAGAAAGCTTCTCTTATTATATGGGATGAGGCACCTATGATGAGCAAGTGGTGTTTTGAATCTCTAGATAAGAGTTTCTGTGATATCATTGGTAATAAAAATAGCAAAGTATTTGGTGGAAAGGTTGTTGTCTTTGGAGGTGATTTTAGACAAGTTCTTCCTGTTATCGCTGGTGCAGGCAGGGCTGAGATTGTGATGGCAGCTCTTAATGCTTCTTATCTTTGGGATCACTGTAAGGTTCTAAAGCTTACTAAGAACATGAGGCTACTTAAGAAGGATTTGAGTGTAGAAGAAGCAAAAGACATCAAAGAATTCAGTGATTGGCTTCTAGCTGTTGGTGATGGTAGAATTGCTGAACCTAATGATGGTGAGGCTCTAATTGATATACCTGAAGAACTTCTGATTACCGAAGCAAAAGATCCAATTGAATCCATTACTCGTGAGATATATGGAGATCAAGCCATGTTAAAAGGTACTGAAGATCCAGTATTTTTTCAAAAGAGAACAATTCTGGCGCCAACCAATGATGATGTACACACAATCAACCAATATATGTTAGACAAGTTGGAGGGTGAGTCATAGCTTACTAGCTTTGTGAAATTAGAACCTTCAAGTCTTTCTTACAGCTAAAAGGTTTTTCTATTTTTTCAACAGGTGATGAGCAAGTTTTTTACAGTGCTGATAGTATTGATCCTGAAGATTCCGATTCACTTAAAAATCCTGTTATCACACCAGATTTCTTAAACAGTATCAGGCTACCAGGTTTGCCACACCATGCTTTGCGTCTGAAGATTGGTGCTCCAATCATGCTACTCAGGAATATTGATCCTAAAGGTGGTCTATGCAACGGTACTCGGCTTCAGGTAACTCAGATGACCCCACGTGTTCTTCAAGCAAAAGTTATAACCGGAGACAGAATGAATGATATTGTTTTGATTTCATTAATCAATATTACACCATCCGATACAAAGCTACCTTTTCGGATGCGTAGAAGACAGTTCCCAGTATCATTAGCATTTGCTATGACTATCAACAAGAGTCAGGGACAATCACTAGAGAGGGTTGGACTTTATCTGCCTAAGCCAGTGTTTTCTCATGGTGAACTATATGTTGCTTTATCTAGGGTTACCTCAAAGACAGGTTTGAAAATTCTGATTCTAGACAAAGAAGGGAAGATTCAAAAGAAAACAACTAATGTTGTTTTCAAAGAAGTTTTTCAGAATATTGACTCATAATGCTTCTTGCATTATTTGTCAAACAATCTTATCAAAGAAGGTATGTTTAGTTTACCATTTCATTTTATAATATAATAGCTTTATGGTAAGCAAAACCCCCAGTCAATCAATCATATATTTGACTAACAATCTACTTACCTTTTCACACATTCAATGCCTCATGGTTCAAGAGAAAGTAACAACCAATCAATCGACTTTCAATGCCAGTTATTGTGCTAACTATATTTGACTTCTTTAAACACTCTTACTTTCGTCATATTTGGTTATATGTCTTTCTTTTTATGTATTGAATTAAAGTACCAATCACTCAAGCAGATGCACAATCATTTTGTTTTCTCATTTTCACTCAATTTATCTTAGCTTAACATTAATGAATATGTTGTATATGTTTCTAAATTACATTTCAGTGAGAAGAAAGTGTAAACTAACCTTGCATAGATGCGGATGTAGATTTGATTCTCCTTGGTTTCAAATTTTTGTCCTGATGTGTTCTGATCATAGAAGCTTCCTATTCAATATACAGCAAGGGTTAGATACTTCAAAATAATCATCATAAAGTCCTTTATGCCGTCCAAAATCACTATCTGTACTCTTACCTGCTCTTCTTTTTTTGATCTGCTTATGCTAAGTTAAGGAGTTTCCCAAGCTTCTATTAGTCAGATTCTATGTTAATTCCTAGACAAAAACACATTGATCGATTAGCTAATCAGTACAGTTGCTATGTCATTCAAAGTTTAGCTGTGTTCAGAACACTGAAAATCATTTGAGTTACAAACTATTGAATATACTAATGTCAGAATAAGAATTGAACTTACAGTTTCAGATCGCTTGAATAAGAGGTCCCAGAAGCAAGTTCCGATAAACCTCGGATGGCAATTGCCGCTTGATCTTATCCAAGCTGTTCTCAGTAGCATCAACAATTCTCTGCGCATTTTCCGAAATTGACAAAATGGGTCAATTTAAGACTGTGAATTAGAAAAGGAGCCAAAATAAAGATACTAAATTGTAGCAGACAGATATCGAGTGTGAAAGATACCGGAGAAGCGCCGTTGGAAGCCATGTTAATTTGGATCGACGAGATCGGAAAGTTCTTTGATCGATCTCAAGATCATAATAATTGCTGATCGATGAATCAAGAGAAGAAGGGGTTTTAGAGTTTTTTTTGGTTTAGGAATGAGCTGAAGAAGACGAGGTTAACGAAGAAGAAGAAGAAGAAAATGGAGAAATTGTTGTTAGGTTGATTGTGTTTCGCGGAATTGCAGTATCTTCACTGTACCAACGAGATCAAATCAGTATTAACCGGCCGGTACACCACTGGATCAGATAAACTAATCCAACCGGTTCCTTTTTTTTTTTTTTTTTTTTTTGGCCCAGGAACATTAATGGGCTTGGTTGTCTACAGCCCAGCATGTATGAGAGGTTAACTTATTTTGTATTAACATGTTAATTATGTTGTTAAGTTCAATATATATCATGCAAACTAATTAACTAAAACATATTATTATCTCAAACAATAAGTTTTTCATATGAAAAAAATATTTACAGCCATATTTACAAGATCAAAATTTAATTTTTCCTTAATAAAATCAAACTATCGTACAATTTATATTGATTAAAATTACTTTAATCCTTCACATCTAAATAAATCTTATAATACAAGATAACTAAAATCAGAGAATTATATTAGAATTATATATTGGGAATTAACAATCAAAATATTAATTTATAAGAAATACAAAATACTAATTTATAAGAAAACATCAAAAAAGAATTGACATTTTACATATAAAAGCCAAGTCCACATTTATGAATATTAATCTTACCATACAAACCAGCTGTATGTTTACACATTATCGAACTTTTAAAAATTAAATAATTTTTATTTATGTTGTATCAATTAGACGATTAATATAAAAGGAAATACTTTTTATGTAACACATATGACTCAATTAAAACATGTTATAAACAAATAATATCGAAAAAACTTATAACACAATCAAAACCCCAACCATAATACATAAATATATATATCACCACAAAATAAAATATAACCAATTATTATTGTATTATTAAATAACAAATAATAAAAATATTAAACCCGCGGTGTACCGCGGGTAACAATCTAGTCTACTATACATTTTTGCAACACTTTTAAGAGATCCTAATAGGGTCGGATTTTTTTTTAATTTTGACCCGGAAATCTTTTTATTTTGACCCGGAAATCTTCAATCGGATCTTTCCTTAAATATTAGCAAATTTTAAAAACGAAATTATTCAATAAAATCTAAATATATATATATATATATATATATATATATATATATATATATATATATTCTAAACTAATTACTATATCTAAACTCTTTATTTATGGTATATTCTTTACGATTTTTATAGATAAAGAAATCAAATATGATGATTTAATGCTAATATAACAAATTTGAGTTAATTTCCTAAAACATCTCTACCTAATTTAAACATAAATATATGATTCTCATTTTACTTTTATTTGATCTTATATTATATTATTTTGAATTATTATAAAATATATATAGTTAATAAATTTTAGTTTTTTTTTTCTGCATATGTTATGATTCAAATTTTTTAAAACGGACATATATTATTCAATCGATGAAGAAAAAAAGTACAGTATGTGTGTAATCTATAATAACATTTTTGAAGAACAAATTGCGCGTTTAATCAGGTCGTTTTTTTATTCTGACCCGAAATTGAGTCATTCGGATCTTTCCTTAATTTCTACAATTATCTAAAACGGGACAGTATACCACGGCCCACGGGTGAAATCCTAAACTTAACAAATCAAAATAAAATTATTTAGTATTTTAAGATACAATTATAAATTATTTTTACGGGTTGGTTCAAAAACACACACTAATTAAAAACATTATATATTATAGAAACCATTTGAAAGCAAACTTTTAAATTGACTCGAACTATAAGTTTGAAGGACAATGGGCATCCAAAGGGAGAGGAAGCTTGGAACTCAAAAATTCAATGAGTTGAAGGAGAGCCATCATGATCGTAAAGGTCAAAATTTATTGTATATGTGAGATGTAATATGCTAATAGACATTCCATATTGTCTTATACTCTTTTCTTTGAAGGTATTTCTAATTTTAATTTTGGTTGAAACATATCAATTCAAAATATTTAACTTTTAAATGTACGCTTAGTATTTTGTTTACAGAATATGCAATATACATTCAATCCAATATTTTGTTTTTGACAAATCTCTAATATGTTTAGAGATTTACACGAACTTAATTGTTTTTTCCTTTAATACTTATTTGTAAACGTGAAATTAGTAGCAACTAAAATAAATTAATAATATCAATAATCTGTTTTTAAATAAAATCAAAGATTTGCGGGTTGGTGAATATTAAAATTATAAATATTTATCAACGATGTTATCAATTTTGTGATGAGTAATATTTATCAACGATGTTACTAATCTATAAAAACTTTATAATATTAATAATATAGATGAACTCTATAAAAATTAAAAATATATATATTATGAGAACCATTAGAAAGCAAATTTTTAAATTGACTCGAACTATATGTCTTTTTAATAATAATATTATTAAAACGAACAATAACAAAATGATGTTTAGTTTCATGGGACCGGGCTATATGGTGGGACATGGTTAGCTCGGTATTAATATGAGACGGTATACCACGGTGAAATCCTAAAATTAACAATTATAAACACAAAACAAAACAAATACAACATAAAATTTAAAAACACACATGGTGAACCAAAAAAAAAAATATACGCAACAAATTAATCAATTTATTAAAAATACTTATGAATTTAAATAATTAACCCGTGGTGTACCACGGGTCAATCCCTAGTACTACAGTATACCACGAATAGTAAAACAGATATATATATATATATATATGTTTTATTTTTTTTACGGCAAAATAATAAAATATATATATTTTAAATATAGTTTATTTATAAAATTCAACCCAATTGGGCTAGAAATAGGCCTACATAGAATTTGAAACCCAATTACAAAAAAGTACACCGAATATCGCCGAAAAAAGAAAAAAGACTCGATCATGTTGATCATCGTCCGCAGAGTGACCGAAACCTTAGATATGGCAGAATCAAGGCCCACAGCTTCGTGGCTGCGTCAAAAGATTGAGAAAACTGGTGGAAGATTCTGGTTTCCGTCAGCCATCCCTTTCCTCCGACGTACCAACCCACCACAGGCCTCCCAGAAAGTTAGTCACTTCGACGAAGCGGTTCAACGGTAACGGATCCCGACTTAGCAACCCGTCACGCTTGGAGTTATCTTCTCTCTTCCTTCACCGGAAAACTTTGAAGTCCCAGAGTCTTCATGCCTCGATCCGGACAGTCGGCTCACCCGATACGGCAGATCTAAAGGACAGTGGCTCATCCAGAACCTCTAAATCCGACCCCGCATCAGCCATCGAAGATTCTATGGATCCACCGCTAGCCACCTGTCAAAACAACATACCCACCTTATACCCGCTAACTTCCGCCGTAGACGCAGCTTCTAGGCCGACGACCGAGCCTGAGGAGCATCGAAGCAACTCCCAGCATCCTCAACCGGGAGACCACCACATCAAGGCTCCTCCTCCGCCATTCCAGCGCCACGACCACATCAACGGAGAATCACCACACCTCTGTTGACGGAGAAGCACAAAGACTCACTCCTGGGCCACCTTCGAGAGATCTCCGCCGTCGTTAAGACCAGAAAATGACCTGAAAAAACTAGATCTGAAAACCGGAAATCGTCTTTAAGAGAGAGAGAATGGCACATAAAAATTTGTTATCTCAATCAATGAGATAAATTTAATACGTTCAATTTTTTTTACCTTTTTTCATTGCTTATTTGATCAAATCTTATGTGATGAACAGTTTCCACAATAAACATGATTTCATAATGTCTTTTTTTTCCACACTTCCACGATGGACAATTATGCACTAATTGGGTATATATGTTTGCTTTTTAAAATTTGAATCGCATGTAGGAAACAATTTATCAAAATAACATTTACCTTTATGTATTATATAATGATTCTAAGCAATTAAAAACTAAAAAAATAAAGATGATATTACAATCATAATTTTAATTTTTAAAAAATCTTCTAAATATCGATATTATTAACTGTAAAATATCTATATTAGTATTTGTAAAGTATATTTTATATCGGATCGAAACATATCCGAAATTGTGAACCGGATATCTATACTAATTCTCGAAAACATATATGGTATATTCCTTGCATCTATAATGATTATAAAATAAAAATATCCATATGATATTTCATATTTAATAATATAGATATTTAGAAGATTTGATTTTTTTTGTGCAAATAGAAGATTTGATTAAGGTTTAAAATTATGATAACATATCATCTTTGTTTGATTTTTTTAACTATTTTGAATCATCATATAATACATAAACTTAAGGGAGACTCACAAAAATGCACCTTTTTCAATACCCCTTTTCAAAAATGCCCCATTTAGCTGTCCATTTTTAAAAATACCCCTTTTTATGTACAAAATGACTAAATTACCCTTCTTTTAATAAAAGATATCACAAATATATAAGAAAATATAATAAAATTAGGTCCACAAAATACAAAATATTTTTTGGCGGGAAAAGTGATCCCGCCAAAACACTTGTAAAAACTTGTAAAACCTTTAAAATACCTTGTAAAATTTTCCCGTAAAATTTTTTCCCGCCAAAAAATGTTTTTGCGGGAAAAGTGATTCCGCAATTTTTTGGCGTTAAATTTTTGGCGGGAAAAATTTACAAGGTATTTTAAAGGTTTTTTACAGGGTATTTATAAGGTTTTACAATGTATTTTAAAAGGTTTTACAACGTATTTATAAGGTATTTATAAGATATTATAAGATTTTACAAGCTAAATTATAAGGTTTTACAAGTTATAAGGTTTTACAAGTTTTTTATAAGGTTTTACAAGTTATAAATACCTTATAAAACCTTATAAGTACCTTGTAAAACCTTTTAAAATCTATACTAGTATTTTTGCAACACTTTGGTGACGGGCGGGTAAAAATGCTTTCGGGTATATCGGATATCCGACCCGTTTTTTAAATTTCT